TCCCATTCACTCTCACATTTCACCCACACAACCACGCAGTTAAATCTATTATTCTTAAAAACTTTAAATTACTTCAGAACGACTCAAAGACTGGTACTGTTTTCGCAACCGCATTAATTTTATTCAAACGAGACAAAAACTGGCAGCTTTTTGGTCAGAAGTTCATTTCAAACCAATGACCAACCTAGAACTTTCAAATGCGCTCGCTCATGATGCAAAATTTGTCCTTTCATTCATAACGTAAAGAAAATTTCGGGACCCAAGAGATCCATTAAGATCACTGATCAATTCACGTACACCTCCGCCAATGTTACCTACTGCATAACTTCCACTTTTTGCAAAAAGTTATGCATTGGTAAAACAGGAAGACGACTAGGTGACCGATTCCGAGAACACCATCGCGACGTAGAAAGAAGTGACAAGGACACATCCAAACCAGCCGTTGGAAACTTTAATCTCCCTAATCATTCTGAGCAGCATATGACAGTTTGCGGCCTTTCCCCACAGCTAGGCAGTTCGGAAAGCCGCAAAACTCTAGATTTTTCCACAAAATTTATCTTTCAAATCGGTGCTCTGACTCCACGGTATCAACGAGCGCTTTGCATTCAACTAAATCATTCTTGTTTTCTCGTCACCATATTCCCACCATTAGCGTAGCTCCATTTTCTGCATGTAAACCCACATACAACCCAAAATTCCTCCAATCGCCCTGACGAAGGGCAAATCGCCCTGCTCGAAACGTCAGCTTTTTAACTCTTCAAGAGATTACAGAGGCCAATTTACAGCGTTATCCGACTTACCATGTTCTCCCACATTAACCCCCATCTACCCTAAGTTAACCATGTTCTACCACGTTAACCTACATCCACCTTTAGCTAGCCATGTTCTACTACATTAACCCCCATCTACCCTTAGTTAACCTTGTTCTACCGCGTTAACCCCGTCTACTTTCAGTTATACATGTTCTACCTCGTTAATCTCCATCTACCCTTAGTTAACCATGTTCTCCCACGTTTATCCTATTTATCCTGGGTTGAACATGTTCTAACACTTTCATCCACATCTATCCAAGTTTTATCACGTTAACCCTCATCTACCCTAAGTTAAACACGGCCTACCGCACCTGTTGGAAACGACCATAAACATAGCTTGTTATCTCAAATCAACGATGCAGTCACAGCTGTTGCCACTTGGTCGCGAATTAAGTGAAGTCTAGTTTTTAACGAGATTGAAAGCCTCGTAAAAGCAAAGATTTGACGCAAAGGGAAAACGATTTTCGAGTGTGTGCAGAAATTTATTGAAGAAAATATTTTTTTCTTGGGTACACTTTGTAAACAATATTTTGGTGAAAAGATGAAACAAGCGCTATAAAGCAGTAATTCAAAAATCAGTATTAAGTGCTTGCCACAATCGTACAGTAATTCACAATAGCTTTGAACACGAGTGTGAGGTTTTAACTACTCTTCAGTTCGCGAACAAATGGAATATTCGATTTCATGCCGATCTTTACTTGTAGATGAATTGATCTTTCTTTACAAAAAAAAAAAACAAAAAACCGTAATGTTCGACAACGGCAAGAAACGTGCTATTTTAATTTCCCGAACGAAAGAGTCGAATTACTAACGTTTGCTCCAAACCTACCGTGGAACGGAAAATTTGTTAGCTAAAGGTAGGTGTATTGGTTATGAGGGAGCCGATGGGTTCTTAAGTAGAAATGGCGAATTTCGTAATCGAAATAAGTGGTTACGTGGCAGATCTCATTTGTGTAGTGAAATCGTAATATTTCTTAGGGTGCCTTTCATTTGTCGGAAACGACCGGCCAAACCGGTCGATTTATTGCTGAGTACGATTCAAATCTACGGTTTTTCCAAATATTTACACATATTTATCAGAACATAGGGTACAGTCTAAGAATTGATCAATGTAATTTACAGTTTTGATTGGTAACAAAGTTTATGAAAAAAAAAGAAGAAAACAAATCAAAGTGCTCTGTGAGCAAACTCGTGAATTGACACATGATTTTTTGGATTATGTTTAATGTTATCTGGTTTAGGGAATTTTGTGGTTGATTGTAATATCTAGGGTACGAGCAGTAGTTCAGTATTCGCTAATGTAGCAAAGAAACAAAGTAACGTTGGGATAAAGGCATTACAATTGAAATAATCATGCTATTACATTTGACAAAGGTGGATGATGTCGTGTTTTAAACGTATATCATTTTTGTTTCTGGTTCAAAAGACAAGGTTGGAAGTAAATGTGGGTGAAAAGTGAAATTTACTGTCTATCATTGTAAATATTAGAAAATAAAGGCAATACTGTCTTAATGAAAACATTAATGATTCCCTCTTTATCAAATGAGACAAACGAGAGTGAGTTTTGAGTGATATAACTAAGCCAAGACTGCCACCATCATTTTGGATCTCCTCCCGGGTAGATTTTAGTCACGTGCTAGGCAACGTATAATCAATAACAAGATAGAATTTCATTTCAGGCCTATTTATCAATTTTGTGGTGTATAACTTTCGCATTTTAGTACGTAATATGTATTTTGAATCTTCAAATTGTCTTGAAACTTAAAAGAAAATTTTTCTTTAAAAATTCACTGAAAATCGGTAGCTAAAATTGTTTGTTTAGGTGTTATTTGATTTTCGTGTTAACTTGTAATTTCGTCAGCCGCCGGCATCTTTTGTTGCTTCACACAGGAAAAACACACGATACGAAACGTAATGATTGATTTTGTCATCAATCTCACGCCATAACAGAAAAAGCTTTTGAACATCTGTAAACTCCGAGCGCTTTGCAGTAAGTGATATTTTCAATGAATCTTCGGATTGTTTTCAAGTTCAAGGATTGTAAATTACAATTTTATGAAAAACGAAGGTTGTTCTGTTATTTCAGTGTGAATCCCTTCATGCCTGCCAGTCGCTGGCGCCGCTTGTTGAAACTAAAACGAGAAAAAAAAACTCTTTTAAGATTATCATTGGCTTCTTTTTCACCCCACCACTATTCTTAGCAACAAAGGTCGCCATTTCGTTTGTTTATTGCTCGCGAAAAACTATCAAATGCACTCAAAAGCCTAAAATCGAAAAAAAGTTCACAGGAGTCGACCAATCGAGCGAGCGAGCGAATGCCATTCCCACATCGTATCTACAACTCGCTCTTGCGCATGCGCGCAATTCACGAGTTAAAAAAAGGATCTTGCCGGACAGTTTCAACTTATGGTAAGCACCCGGTGGTTGCATAGTTTTTTGTATTAGCTCATACCTTTAGGTAACTAGTTTCCTCAGAGATAATCTCTCCAAGCCTTTTTCCACTGCCTTCTCTTAAAATGATAATTATAATTTTCCCTCTTTGGGCACTATTACGCAAAGGGCATACAAAGGGATTAATTGCCTCACGCCACGCGACACACCTTTGTCTATTCTTTATTGTTTACAGTATTAGGTTTCAGTTTTGTTACAGCTCTCGTAGCGTGAACAGTGTTTTGTCAAGTGGCGTTGTTTTTCCCGCCCACCCACCCATTTCTTGTTAGTGTGTTTAGGTGAGGTGGCAGAGAGGTTTATTTCGCTTCCTTGTTTGTTACTGTTCGATCCTATTTCATTATTCTAGGATCTAGCTGAATAAACTTCTCTCTTGGCCAAAAACAGATTGTGTTGTTGTTGTGTTGTTGGCGGGGGGGGGGGGGATTAATAATACTGCAATACTTGACGTGGAACTTCACTTTGTCGTGACACCAGGGGTGTTTCTCTCTTGAACAAACTAGTCACACCAATGCTCGAAGTGGGATTTATAGGGATCGCTAGGAGTCCCTTCAACCTCCCCGAGGTCTCTAAGCCACACTTCTGCAAAATGCATCTGAGTGCAGTATCGTTTTTCCCTGAAAAAAAAATTAATCAATTCCTTTCGTAACTGCGTCATTTATCGAATTTCTGGTCTCTTATATTGTCAATCAAATCCCAAATAACCTAAAACTCATGAAACTCAGAGTAAATGATTACTTTCAAGGATGTCTGAATTACTTAACGATGAATGAGCGATCTTACTGTGACAAGGGAGACGCAACAGACTGTTAGATGATGAACACAATAGGATTCAGAACTGCATAGATGAAGTACGGCTTAAAACTGACCAGGGAGCTAAACTCCTATATTTCTGATAAAGAATCAAATGATAAACTGCATTCCGATATCGCTATCTCTAAAAATATATTCTAGACAATATCCCTAACGTTATCTTTCTGTGTCATGTGATTAGATTCTTATTGGTCATAGTTAAATATATAGCTTGGCTGTTTCCTAGCTATCATTAGAGCCAGTTGAGAGCAGGTCATCAAACCCGTAACAACTCAATTTTTTTTAGCAAAACTTGCCACGGTCCACAATATCAAACACCTTTGCTTCAATAAATAAGATTCCATTTATCATATCGTTATCATTAGCGAGACCCTGATCTCTCGTCATGCCTCAGAGCAAATGAGGGTGAAAATGGAAGAACGTGGCTCACTTTAAGTATATATGGGGGTGAACAAAATAAAACGAGGCTAACTTGGGGTAGATGAGACTAAACGTGGAAGCCATGTTAACTTTTGATATATGTGGGTCAACAGGATAAAACGAGGCTAATGTGGCAAAACATGGTTAACTAAGGGAAGATAAATGTGATAGAACATGGCTAACTAAGTGTAAATTGGGGCGAACGTGGTAGAACATAGTTAACGTAGGGTAGATGGGGGTTCATTTGATAGAACATGGCTAACTAAGTGTAGATTGGGGCTAACGTGGTAGAACATGGTTAACGTAGGGTAGATGGGGGTTCATTTGATAGAACATGGCTAACTAAGTGTAGATTGGGGCTAACGTGGTAGAACATGGTTAACGTAGGGTACATGTGGGTTAATGTGATAGAACATGACTAAGTGTAGCCGCCCTTCATGCTATCGTGGATATCGATCCGAATTTTAATCAAATGCTAGAGGTAACCATGCTGGATATGTATAATGAATGTGTGGGAAGATATTACTGACCTGGCACAGAAAGACGTCCTATCGGGATTTGTCACCAGCGACACGACTGGCCAAATGGCATTGCCGAGAGGGAACTGGGGCGACATTTCACTTCAGAGGAGTTTCTTTACGAGCTGCTTCGACAGGGGAAGTTACCCCTGGGATATCTCGAAGAACACATACGTGGTTATATCGCATGCAAAAAGGACCCCACAATAGAGGGATGTAAAGAGTTTTGAGCTGTAAATTTAATAGCTTTTGACAGTCGAAAAAGTTAATTGTGCGAAAGAAATATGGATTCCTTGCTGGACGGTGCGATTATGAAATACAGAGTCGCTAAAAATCTCCACAAAGGTGGGTGCAAGATTAGCAATCGCTTGCAAAGTCTTTGACGCTACACGAAGTTTCTCGGTGCCTAATTATCTTTATCACCGCACACAGCACCACCCGTAACATAGCCCCCAAAATACTTTATTGGCTCTTCCATACTTAGTAAACTATAAGAAACAATTTGATCGTGTCTCCAAAATCTCTGGCTCGAATTGTGCACAACAGATTTCAAAATGTTTCCGCAATTTTAATGACATGATACGCCGTGTGTTCCTTTCTCCTTCTTTAACCCTTTTATTCCTGAAACTGACCAGCATCTAATTTCTCCTGAGAATCACAGCTGAATCAAACATTAAGGACATGAGAATAAAGAAAATGATTACAGGTCTAGATTGTTTCGCAAATTCTCCTTGTCAGTGTCATAGTAAATGTTTAGAGAAAAGTATGGAGAATATGCACACTGATGCTAGGATGTCAAGGGTTAATCTTAAGAGTTCATCTGTTTCAACTTCTTTCCGTCTGCAACATTGTGCACCTTTAAAACACCATTTGTAAAATTCATTGCAATAATTTCACCTGTTTCCAACTATCAGTAATGTATATTAAAGTTCACAAGGCAACCAGGTGGACAATCAGAAAAGGTTTGATGTTAATCAGGTTTAAAGATTTGATGAATGTCACCGAGAAGATACAATTCGTAGACCCAAAGTGTCGACATTCCTGTCTAGTGCTTTCATCAGTAACGTATTTCGCAGGCTTAACGCTCTTTTTTTAAACTTAATATTAATTTAGTAAGCACCAAATGAAAAATTGGCAAAACAATTTTTAACGTGTTACAGCCTCAAAAAGGACTGTAACTATTTTGGTCAATCCACTATCTGTCGTTTTAGAGCTTGATAGGGGTTTTCGTACATAGGTTTCATAATTTTTGACAGGATATCATATTTTCAAAGAAAGCCATTAATTACTAAAATAGCATTTCATGTCGGTGCTTTTGACTTTATGATGATTGAGTAATAATGCTTCTACTAGATCTTTGTAAAGAAATACAAACCAATAGAGAATAAGGAGGCTCTCTTTACAACCCTCTTGTTGGAATTACTTTCCACTTCCCTGCAGTCAAATTTGCTGCGCATAATGGTGAAAATAATTTACTCAGTTGAAAAAGAAGAACATTGTCATTGCCAAGCTCTGTTCTGTTGGGATCAACATAAGCTAAGGAGCAACATTCAGCATCCTTCAAACTGGGCACTTCATGAATATTAAACAGAATATGGATTAGTAACAGAATCAAGGTTGTAAGTGCAAGCTGTGCAACCGGTTTTTTTTCTTTCTCTGGGAAATGTTATTTTTCGCAAAGGAAGAAGTGGCTGGAACTTTCAAGTCAAAGCAGTGATAGCTTGAGCCCATAATGTCTTTTTCAACAATTATACATCAACCCTATAATGATGATAATAATATGTTGTTAATTATGATGATAATGATGGGTAAGGGTTAATAATCTTAATAATGATGATAATGATGATGCGATACCAAGGATGCAATGGGAACACTCAGCTACTGGCACAGTAATTTTTGATGGCCGTATGCAGATGTCTGGCCCAGACCTCAACCTGCTCCCCCCACTCCATTGCAATGATGATGATGACGACGACGATGATGACAATGAACGTGAAAGGTATAATATTTGACATAATGTAGAATGCATGACACCCAAAGGACCAGCTCTGAAGTAAGATAGTAAGACAGCATAGAAATAATTACTTGTATGGTTTCCAAAATCCATTCCTGATTAAGTTTTATCGGCCAGGAATTATGCCTGTCTATTTGATTCAAACCCTCAACAACAGAGCTTTAAAAGCTTTATTATAAAACTATAACTATCATAAGAACATAATTTCTTTGCAATCCCTGGAATTTGATTCCATTTTCCAAATGTGAAATACATTTTACATCATTACAATGGTTAAAGAAAAAATAAATAGACCTTACACTTGCAAAAAATTAAAAAACCCATGTTCAACTAAATGATCTTGTTCAACATCAAATAAACCAATATCCTATAAATTCTTAAAATATATCATAGGTTATTTACCAATAGTATAGCCTAAGTCAAACAGCTCCTGAATGATCTCCATTCCTACGAGAAGATGCAAACCCTCTGGCACAGCTCCAACCAATGCAAGCCCTTCAAAATGGTGTTGTCGAATTTTGAGCACAACTTTTACTTCTGAAAACTCTCCATTAACTCCTGCTAAATGAACAGGAACAGTATCCTCCCAGTCAACTTCCAGATCCAACTTCTGCAGAAGCTCTTTGGATATGCAGGCAGCTGCATTATTGCCAGTGTCAAAACAGACACTTTGACGTCCTTGAACACGAATCAACGAGCCAGATGCATTCTTTATGTCTACTGGTTCTTCATCCCTTGATATGATGAAGGGTTTATATCCTGAAAAGTAGTTCAAGAATACAATAAATTGCCAAATTAATGTTCTTTTTTTCAATGGAAATAAAACATTAATGCTAACTTGGCACACATGACTTAAGTGAGTAAGCAAGTAATCATTACATTTAGTCAAATACACTAAGCTCATTATGGTATTGTCAGTAAATGCTTTTTTAGTCATTCCCTCTATTCAGTCAAACTAGTTATTGAATAATTTATTTTAATATTTGTTTTATTCCCTCCTGCCTTAATTAGCTTTGCTATTTTGCGGGTTGGGATTGTTAGATATGTATTTTAATTGCTAAAATAAATAACTTTTATTTGTTGCTTTTGTTTGTTTTTTCTCCTTTCAATACCACCCCTGAATCAAACATTAAGGTCATGAAAATAAAGGAAATGATAATCAACTGAAGAAGCTCTTGATTGTTAAAGAAATTCTCCTTGCTAGCACATTAGGAAATGTATAGAGAACAGTATGGAGAATATGCATATTGATATTAGGGTGTATTTAGGCTTAAAGCCATATAATATATGTACATATATAATGCTGGTCACTCACTAGAAATCAATCCCTCACAGGTAAACTCACAAGCTTCAATTTTTACAACTGCCACACCAGGTACACCATGATCATCACCATCAGCAACCTTCCTTGGCCTCTCAAGTGGCATATGAACTGGTGCTGTGGACAAGACAAGGTTCTCTCGACAGTTCAGTGGCATATCCACCACTTCTTTACCCATTGTTTTCAGAATGACTCTTTCATCCTTAATTGTAAAAGCCCTTATTCCAATGAAGTAGATTCTGGTACATGCCATGTGAAGTTTGGTATAGAGTTTTCCTAAATAGCCTTGAAATCTATTAGCCTTTCAATGAAAAGAGGAAAAAAAGAAAAAACATAGTGAATGAGGCTTGTTATAGCATGCTCAATCCTAACTAATAGCAAGGTCAGAAACCAGTGAGTTAGAGTGGTTTCTAACAGTCAGTGTCACAACAGAAGTCCACAATCATATTAATTAACTTATAAATAAATTAATAAACACCCATTTCAATGAACATTAAAAGTATCAATTGGTATGGTCTCAGTACATGTTTGTTTGTTTTTTTTTCAATAAAACAGCAATACAAGTTATACATATTGTCACATTTTGTTACCAATGGTGGGTGGTCTGAGGGTCGTCATATTAGACTAGAAGACAAAAAAGCCCAGTTATTACAATCCTGGTTTTGGTGATTGTGTTATATTGTTGGATACTAACTTACAGATAGATTACTCTCACATCAGTCTAGATTTCTTTACATCAGACCAACAAGCTGTCTGTGAAACAGAGGAGATGCTGGGCAAAGGTAATCTGCGGTGAACTGACGTACATCCTTACAAGAATTAAGATGTAGCAATACTGCTGATAATTTTATGCTGCAGAAACAGGGGTTGTTTCACTTGCAAATTTTTCTTGAATGTTACAGCATTCAGTTAGTTACCTTTAGGTTGACATATCCACATGCCTGTTCAAGTCTTCTTAAAACATTTTTATCTTGAAGGTCTTTCAGCAATTCATTTACGCCCTTTCAAGGAAACAAAAGTCAATCTAAAGGAATGGACATGTAATAGGGTGAAGTTTTCACCAAAAAACAAAAAAAGCTAATTAACCTCCTGACAGAGAGAAAATTGAAAAAGAGGAAGTTTTGAAGGGGGCCCAAATCAGCGAGGGGGGTTCTAAACCTGCTAAGACACTAGGGCAATGTAAGTTTCTCAAAAAAAAATCTACCGACAACTGTGCTGTTGGTAATACTAATGAAAACTTACCAGTAGCGGTTTACGGTCATTCCTGTGGAAAATGAACTGTTTTCCATCTCGCTTACCCAGCTTACAGTATCTTCCTAAGGGGCTCTGATAGCACGTTAAAACTCGATATTCCAGCACACATCCGACCTTGATCCCTTCATTTTCTACATCTTCATTAGTCCAAAAAGATGTGTTCTCTGACCTTCGTAGCTGGAAGGGTTTTCCTACGCCACTTGCACTGTTATCGATATTCCTGCAGTAAATGTTCGTGGTTGAGCCACAATTTCGTGCTCTAGCGACGACTACACAGTGCTCACTAGCGGGGTTTATTAGAGATGTATTTAGTTCAGGTTGGTGCTTTCGTGGCTTGAGCGTACACAAAGCAAAAAGGAATGCGTTGAGAAAATTGAGTAAAGGACCAGCTTGAAACACGGGCCGTCCGAGATTTACAGTTGCACGTTCTTCGCGTGATAAAATCTCTTTATTGAAAGGTACTCTCACCCAGAACATTGAGTCGTAAAAAATTGTTTTTTTTTTTTTTTTTTTCTGCAAGCAAGATTTTAGAAAACAGAACCACGATAAACACAATTTCCGTGGCAAGCGCAACTTCCAAAGCAACATGTACTAACTCAAGCGCCATTTTGTTGGGAGTTACTACATCACGGGCGACGAGCGGGGATAGAAAAAACGACCCAAATATGAGCGGTCAGCAGTGAAACAGCTTTTATACTTCATATAGAGACATATAATTTGTTGTTCCAGAGACAATCGTGTTGTAAAGCCGAAATGTTAACAGTTTACTTCACAGTTTAAGCAATTTTTCAAAAGTGTGGATTGAACTCATATTTTTTACTGCTTTAATAAACAATGGAGGCTTCGGAGAGGGAGTCAGTGGCATTTGGAAAGGCACCAAGAATAATTATATATGGTTCGTAGCTAGCTGCGTGACGTGCGTGACGAAAAAAAAGTATCATGATTTCCGGTTGTCAAAAATGTCAATCAAATTTGGCAGGAACTTGGTTTTCGCACTGTAGTTTGCTTTTCCTGGAAGATTTTACCATGGATGAAGACCAAAACCCAACAATGTTAAGAGATTTAGAGATCGACTTTTTGAAAGAACATCTCGATGGCTTTTCTGTTGAAGGCAATTATTGTTTTGGATATTTCGAGGGAAACAGAGCAGAGATGGATGATCTGTTAGTTGCATTTCAGGCATTGAACTCCACGTGTTATGTACTTACAGAAAGCCATTCAAAAGAGAAAAACCACAACAGATTTTCTCAAACAGGTATATAATCTCTCAGTGTTTTAAAGAGCACAGATCCCGGTTTCCTATCCTGACTCTCCTAATTCAGGGATAATTTAATTGAGAAGAATCGCCGTCTTTCAGAGTTTATGGTAAAGTCTTACGCGATTTGCGAGAAGCTGCGTCTGAACTACCTATTTATATTTCATTTTAGTTTCTTTGTGTTTGTTGTTATTGCTGTTGTTATTTTTTTTATTCATTTATCTCTACCTAAAAGGTCTATTTGGTTTAAAAACAGCGAACAGTGGCTTTGGCGCAAAGGTTTGGGTCAAAGGTCTGGCTCTTATTGACACCTTTACATGTAAACCGGAAATAAGGCATGTCGCTTAACAACTCTATCTGATTTCATTTGACAGCACCTCCCGTATTTGAAAACAACCGCGGAAATGTCCCCATACAGTTGTTTGGCCACCCCTTTTATTTATTTATTTATTTATTTAACAACTTTATTGGGTACGTCTACAGGCTCAAAATGAATACATATACAAGGAAAGAGACAAAAAATGGATAGACATACGCCAAAAGGGTCAGTGCGAACGGGACATGGAGTCCCATGCGGGGCACTAACCTTAATAAAAACGAGAAAAAAAAAAAAAAAAATGAAAAATGTAAAAACGTACGGTGAAAAAGTGCTAGATAACTAAAAATCAATGACAGGGACACGACCTAACAATTGACCACGTGCACGGACTATTAACATCAAAAACTGAACGGACAAGAGAGAACATGTGTTTAGCTACAAAAGTTTGAAAGGCGGTCGGGTTAGAAAACTTGGACGGGGGTGATAAGGTACATACGGAGTTCCAGAGTTTAACAGTTCGGTTGAAATAGGAGGCCTGAAAGGTACTTGTTTTACACGAAGGTGTTGTGAGATTGAAGGAATTACTTCGTCTGGTGCGGCCGTGGGAAATAAAAGAAACAAAGTTAAGGATGTTTAGATCCGTGTAGTTATTCAGACATTTGTAAAGAAACACAAGGTCCTTAAGTTCGCGGTCGTAGGCGAGAGGGAGCAAATTCAGCTTGATAAGCCGGTCTCGGTAGCTCATTTCCCCAATTCTGGTGCCTAGAATCCATCTTGTTGCACGTCTTTGTACTCTTTCAAGCTGACTCGTCTGCTGAGCAAGAAATATTTTTAGAGCATATGAAGAGCATCACCTATGCTAGCACAGTTGACAAATTCGAAAAGAGAGTGAATGCCTTGAAAGAATCCCGGCTGTATAAAGAAAAACCAAATGTTCAGAACTATCTAAACAACACGTGGCTATCATGCCAAGTTCGTTGGGCACAGGCTTTTCGAAAGCAGCAGGTGACAAACATAGTTAACACCAATAACGGCACTGAGGCGCAAAACAAGCTGTTCAAGTACGAATATCTGCCGAGATCAGTTGACAAATCGGTTTATGGCATTGCAACGATGCTGGTAGAATCGTTCATTCCTGACTCGCACAGAAGATATTTGGAAAAGAACCTCAAGTTCAGCGATGCCTATGGAAGATATAATTCTAGAATACCGACTTATCTTCACAACCGACCACCACAGTTTGTTAAACACTGTTTGGACAGTAGATTTGCCGCTGGTGAATTCACTGAAGCCGACATCTCATCCGTAAACTTTCAGAAAGGCCAATTCAGCGTGAAAAGCGCAGCTAACGTAAACAAAAAGGAGCTAGTGGATTTTTCCTATCCTAGTTGCACCTGTACCTCCTGGAAAAAAAGTAATTACCCTTGCAAACATTTCTTTGCAGTGTTTGCCCGCTACTCTCAGTGGCGATTTGAATCTCTACCCCATCAGTACAGGAGCAGTGTCTTCATCTCTCTTGATCTGGATCATTTGACTATAAATAAGCATGACAGTAATGCACAGAATTGTGGCATTCCTCAAGGTACAGCTAAATCATCATCATCCTCCGACGGCCGTCCAAGGCTAGCCAGCGCCTCTGGCGATGAATCGATAGACTGCGAACAAGCAGAAGCAGAATCTGAGGAGAAGTCAGGAGAACAGAATCTGTGGAGAAGTCAGATATTGAGCTACCCAATAATAGTCCCAATGGCACCACTACCACTTCTACAGTTGAAAAACTGAGAAAACGGTTTCTTGATAAGATCGATACCGTCAAGAATATCACGTATATGGTAGATGATGAAATCACGATGTCGACAGCTTTAAAACAACTGGAAAATATTCAGCTAATGCTAAAGAAGAGCTGCTCTTCAACGCATGGTATTCCTCTCAGAATAAGCCCAGTCAAGAAGAAGTTAAAGATCACGTCAACGGAATACCATCAAGTATTTCACAAGAAATTGCCCCCTAGACGACGCTGGAAAAAGAAGACTCCGAAGGCTGATGTGATTTTCATTGAAGAAGACAGCAATGACGATGTTGATGATGATGATGCTAAGAGGAAGGTTAGATTTATGTTTAATGATAAAGTGAGTCGAGAAAGGAAGATCAGATTGAGATTGTTTGATTTCGATGTTTGTGAAATATCAAACATTTTTCTTGTATCTACTAGGAAACTGCAGACGACTGTTTCAACAGCTTATCGGAAACACAATTGAGTTTTTTACTCGCATCTGTATTACGCCCTAAAAATTAATGCTAGGCTTGCTTTTATCTGGCCATCAAGTTACGAAGCCTAGCTTTTCACTCTCTACCAATGACTGTTTTCTAATGAACCAATACAATTTTTTTTCAGGCAACCAACTTGTTCGTTGCAGACTTAACTGCGAGTGGTGACGGAGAGCAGAAGACTGTTTCGCAGGATGATGAAGCAAACACTACCCGTTTAGATCTTGAAACGCTAAGGTTAGGCCATAAGTTCTCTGATAAATACGGTTAGTTTAAATGTTAATTCGCATTGGAATTTTGCTGTTATTAGGAATGGAAGCGCTAAGCTGCCAGTGAAACAGCTGAAAGGTGAACCGACCGCAAGACTGTTACGCGCCAGTAAAATGGGCCTGAAGATGACAGAAATCATGTTCCACGACGGACCTGCCAAGCTCACCGTTTCTGATGCATGGACATTGATCCATCCAGAGGTTGCGAAAAGAAATATAAACTTTAACAGTGCAATAGCGGGATTTCAGCCTGGTTGGCTTGTGGACAAGGTGCTTTTTTATTAACATAGAGTGTCTTCTCCATGCAACTTTCCTCCATGAAATGCTCTCCTTTTTCATTTTTTCAAAGGTTATCGAAGCAGTTCTGTGGCGCCTGACCTTAATCCACAGAGATATTTTTGTGGCAGACACAACTATGGCTGAAATGGTAAAGCGACATTCCAGCACTCGCTTGCTTTGGTCAGGAGAGAACTTTACCCAGATTTCTAAAATATTTATACCCATGAACAAGTCTGGAAATCACTGGACACTTCTGGTTAGGACCTTACGATAATAATCTTTTTGAATAACGCACTTTAATCAAGAACCTTTTAACTGGACTTTGCATTATAAATAAATCTTTAAGCGCTCTCTTGCTTATGTTTTAAAGGTTCTGGATCGAAAGCAGAAAACCAGATATTATTTCGATCCCATGAATGGGCGTGTACACACCATTTTGAGCACCTCAGTTCCTAAGAGCAAACTGATAGAACTGATCGATGACATCAGGTGAAATATTTTCAACTCAACGTTTTCCTTTTTATTTTGATGCATGCAGACAAAACATACTTATGTAACTTATATTTTGTTTGACTCTGCAGTGCCGTTGCTGATCTCAAAACGGGATGGAATTGCAAGTCATGGCTATGTGTTGAACCTCTACATTACACACAGACCGATAGCTATAACTGTGGTGTGATTGTATGTCTTGTGAGTAGCATAATCACTTGCTAAAGCTCACTTTAATAGGACTGCTTCCTGGTTTCGAATGTATTAAATTTCTCTTTGTTTGTTTTAAGTTTGCTCGGTGCTTGTGTGAGGGGTTGGATATCAATGGAAGTTACTATGTGGACATGGAAAGGGAAAGAATAACGTCTGTCATATTTGGCTCGTGTTATGATGACCTTGATTGGTAAGTTTTGATGGTGTCAAATACCATTGTTTCTTAAACGCCGCAACACTCTCTTTGACGTCCCATATCTTTTGTTCAATTATAGGAGAAATACCGCGGTCTGTAAGATTTGCAAAGACGACGATGGAGAGGATTGGCTCGGTTGCGATAGCTGCGGCCAGTTTTTCCATGCAAGTTGTCTGGATGTGCCTTTCGCGGAGACGCTTACGCAACATTTCACCTGCCCTTAGGGTGGCTTCTTGTCAGCACCAGTAGAGTTTAAATTTTAAAGCTGACTATAACAACGAACCAGATGATGAACTTAATGTCATGTACAGACCTTAATTTGCAAGATAAGAAATACAGTCCTTGGTATTCAATTAAGATAGATTTTCACGAGCGTCAATGGTGCAGAATCGTAACTTGATGGAACCAACAGAGGACAACATCCCAGAATTCAAACTTTGTGATTTTTTTCTCGGCTTAAACGCTAAGTCAGTTGTTCAATTGAATAGGAAGAAAAACATTTCGAACAGAAAACAGCATTATTTGCACGTGTGGATCTTTTGAGAAAAGGTCTCCTAAACGAGTGGTCTTGATTGTAAATATTTAAGGAGTGGTAAATACATTAGCCTTAACATGGCTGTTTCTCGAAGCTCAGTGTTTTCCTACTTGCCTTTTTTCCACGTGAATTGGGGGCGATTGAATAGATATAATATGCAGTAAAAGAACTTCAGCTGATAGAAATTTTAAATTTCTCATCTTAGGCTGTGTATACAAAATTCAAGTGAAAAGGAAGCCAACTGTGATTAATGCTTTGAACAAGTCAAGATACGTTTTTTCGTCACACAACAAGTTACATAACGTGAATATCATTCTTCTTGATGCCTTTCCCGGTGTCACCAATGCCTTTCCCGATGCCTCCGTTGGTTTATAGAGCATTAAAAGTATTGTTCCAGTTAAAGCTTGAGGAAAATTGCTTAACTTTTTAAGTAGCGAAGTGTAACTTGGTAACATTTCGGCTTTACAACACGATTGTTTTCTGCAACTACAAAACGTATATTTAATTCTTCTTGGTACCTTTCGGATGCCACCGATGCCTTCATTGTTTATTAAAGCAGGAAAAGATATATGTACAATCAACACTTTTGAATTGCTTAACATTTTATTTAGCGAAGTAAACTGTTTACACTTCGGCTTTACTGAACACGATTGTTTCCCGATACTACAAATGATCTGTCTATATATGAATTATGAAAGTTGTTTCACCGCTGACCACTCGTATTTGGGTCGTTTTTTCTATCCCCGCTCGTCGCCCGTGATGTAGTAACTCCCCATTTTGTTTTGCTTGCGCACCAAGTCGAGGCTGGACGGGCAATGGTCAACATTAGGTGACATAGGGTGAAGTAGAACCGAATGATTAGCATTTTCCGATCATCGTAGTGACGTCATCTCTCGAGTGCACTGTAAACTCTTCAGAAATTAAGAGCGACTCTCTGTAGAGACCGAGTGAGATTGGAAAAATGTGACACAGGGTCGGAAAAATGGACCCCTCGATATTTCGTCCAGAGATAACCTATGGTATGCTAAGAATCGTGACATAAGTCTTTGGTTCTAGAGTTTGTACATTTTTGAGATCAAAATTACGAAAAAACCGTCCACCACCCGTGAAGCTGAAAAATCACAGAAATGAGGTCAAATTTCATGACCAGATAATCGACTCGCGTGAAGGCGCATAGCAAATTATGGTTCTCCTTAGTTTGTAATTTTATTTAGGAGGTATTGCTAAGCTGCCTTGATGATATTTTAGGCTTACAATAGTAATTCCGAATTCCTAGAGAGCAAGCGAAGAGAACATAAATTTCTTGACTCTGAAAATCAAACATTCCATACCGTTTTCAAACATCTCAAAACATACTTGGTATTATGTAGAATTCTTTCAAAATTAAATCCTGGCAGGTACAAGAGCTTTTTCTGAACGTGGTATAATTTTTTTCTTGGAAAAAGTTATTTCTGAGGCGAGCAGCCCCATGTAACTTGACCCAGTTTGACTTTTCGAAGAGATTTTGTTTCACCAGAAAATGTAAACAATTCGACTAGCCTTAGCTCGCTTTCTTAGCAAACCTTTGAAAAACCCTGCCATTTCCCATTAAAACTGCCCAGTAAACCTCAGATAATACTTCAATGACAGCTTAACTTCCAAATGGGTGTTTGAAGGCAACTAATTTTGACGTTCTCAGTTAATTTTTCCATTGCTTTGTTGCCACACTTCATAATTTAGGGTTATATCTTGACATCGAGCTTGTACGCCGGTTCTAGGCTAAGCTTGTGCAACACTTTTCCGGAAAATCAATCCAGAAGTCGCAATATCTACCTCTCAATGAGCAACCTCTTGATATCCATTTAGTTTCTTGTATAATAAAAAAAATTCGTAAGCGCAAGACGTAAATCTCGGTCTAGTGAGTGTAAAGCAATTTTTCATTCGTCACTTCCACACCAGGTGATTAATTTTTTTCTGACGTGGGAGGGGGAAAGAAGTTTTCCGATGCAATGTAACTGTTCATTATATGGCCACTGCAACAATTTAATTGAGACTTTCCATCATTATATAAACATACACAAGACTTTTTCATGTCTTTTGTTCCAAATATTTAAACAGCAATTCACTCAATTGCTTTCGCTCAAAATACGTTTTTCTTTCAAGTTAAAACGGGACAACTTCCCGTTTTCTCCTTAGCGCACTCAGCTATTACTCAGCTCAGTGGGTAGTGGAAAATAGCTTAGAATTCATAACCACACCCTATTCACTCCACCTAGTCCCATACCCCACCTTTGTGCTAACTCCTTGACAGATGTAAGTGCGCTTGAGTAAGAGCGAGTAACTCCGGTAAGGGTCGGTAGGTCAGATGGGGATGATGCAATTTGTCTGTAGGGATGAGTTTACCATCGCCGATAGCATACACAATCCAAACTAGTAGCCCCTCTTCCTTGTACTCGACATTACTGAGCTGACTAATACCCTCTATCTTTGAAGATAGCACCGTCGGGACTTAAACAGTCTCACACAATGCTACGTTAACACCAGGAACACCAGAAGAGAGTATCGCGTCTCTCATCTGCTTAGGCGTCTCGATATCATTTCCAGCCTTAAGATAACAGACGGTCTTGAGCCCGGGCATGGCGATCTTGAGCTGCCGAATGACATCGGCCATAACGGCAACGACTACGCAGCTGTCTTGACTACAGGACTTGAAAATGTGTGCGAACGTTAGCATCTACAACTCCCCTCCCTCTCGTCTTGTGGCAACTATCAAATGTCATGGGATTCCACGTTTACCGAACCAATCGGTCTGACTTTCTCCACACTTCCGAGGAAGATATTTCATTGCCGAATCTTGAAGGATTAAAACAAACGACTCATCAATCGCTTCCAAAAGCTGTACTTTGGCGCCATCCTGATTGACGGAACGGAGGAGATGAGACTTCCACGCCAATATTGCGGTCTTTGCATTCTTGACTCGGAAAACAAGTTCTTCCTTCGTGTTGGATGTCATGTCTTGACTTTGCGCAACCAAACCTTCCTCGATATCATTTAGAGTTGACGCCAATGTAGCGCAGCGCTCACACACGTCACTGTGATCGTGATCACATGTGGCCTGAAACGAAGGCTCCTTCGGGTCGCTTAAAGCGAATGACCGGCAGTGATCCGCTATTGTAGAACTCTGGGAAACGTGGACCTGCAATAAACGTTTGAAAAAAAGTTATAATTAAGAAGCGCTGCTGTAACGAGTACTGGGCAGAAAGATAGAGAAGATTTTACATGACTGTCATTCACTTCGTTTTCCTATTGATTGAGGGGCTTGGTCTGTTGTCAGTGAGCCAATCAAATGGCGAACTAAACCCAAACGCACGTTTACTCATGTCACTACTAAACGCAAGTCAGACATATTTCGCCTTCTGATTGATTTTTTGTTTTATGGGTTCCGCTCCTGGTTGGTTGAGGAATTTTATTTGCGGTTAGTTCTACAACAGTCAAGTGAAATCCGCTCTAACATTTTGTTATCATATGTTTCGTATGGACCGATTGGCACGCCCAATTGAGTTAGTCCTTTCTAGTAATCAGCCTTTGAGTGCCGGGCAGTAGAACCATGAAACTGACAAATATTTCGCGGTAAATAGCGCCAACTGAAAAAAAAATAGAAATGATGCTATATAATGGTATTTCGATTAAACTGCTAACAGGTGGTAGAGGGTGTTTTTTTTAACGCGGAAAACTGGGAGTGTGTGACCGCAGACGCCATATTGAACGCACAAGACAAAGATTTGGAGCTAGTGACATAGAGAGGTATAGGGGTATCTGTCTAGCGCGGGTCACACCCACCTTTAAGTCGCTTTTAAGGTACTTCTTGCTTGCGCGTAGATTATTTTCCTGCTGTTTCGCCCATCCCATGCCTTGTCCTACATCTCAAGGGTTTCAACAACATCTTCTGCACCTGCAGCACTAACATAATCGAGGCCTTGAACCGATGTCCGAACAGACGCAGCGCACTTGCTCAAAATCCGCAAAAGGGTAGCGCGGCTTAGTGGCGTGAACCCAGACTCCTGGCAGTAAGTCATTTACTGGATGGCTATTCGCTCTGGGATAATCATCCGTATGACGTTTGGAACCTTGATAGTCTCTTTCGTCGATAACATGATTGTTCTTTCGCCAAAAAGCAAACCTTGGATAACATGGGGACTAGTGATGAACGCTATGAAGTGGTCGATTTGAGCAGTGGATACTCACATCCTTGGCGTCGGAGCTGTTAGCACTGGTGCTCCCCTTCCACATACTAAGCAGTGGCGTCTGGCCTCAGTAAAACGATACTGAGATAAATCATGGTTTCGTCGACTGAACTGCTTGTGGCTTCCTCTCCGTTACAATGTAAGGTTCTCTTGTATGACACCAGAGGAATAGACTGCCTTGAAGAGAGAACCACTATCACTTGGAGCTATGTCTTGTAGAAGTGTAGATAGACCTTAACCTGCCTTCCGCACGTAGTAGCGTCGTGTTCTTTCACTCGCTTCTTCCCAAGGCAGCTGTAGCCGAGAACGAATGGGACTGATTTCTTGAGTGCGCAAGTAATCATTGAGTGGGTCAGTGGTCTTGGACTTTGGTTCGCGCTTTGTTGTAGCTGGTGCGCTGTCAAAGGAGATCTCCTCAGTGGAGGACGAGTCGTCGTTAGGTGGCAAATAGAAGCTTCCTCCTGGGTTGACTCGGGTACTGTGGTCAGGACGAGTAAGAGTCGTCTCCTCAGCCTAGAACAGCAACGCCAACTGTTATATTGCGCACGGTTCATGACCCTTTTTCATGTTAATATATAGAAAACAAGGCGTTGCATAAATGATTGAAAATCTTTAGAAACAACCATAACAATAGCGTCGCTAAATATAATCAGGGAGTCTGATTAAAAAAGAACGACAGAATAAGAGTTGTGTGGTAACTTAATGAAATTCAGGCTTTGATCCTCTACATATTGTTAGAAGTAAATTCTCTAACACTCGTTGTTGGTTTGGTTGATTCTTCTTTAATTCCTTTTCTTCTCAAGTTGTTACAACGGGGACTAGTTTCATCTGACAGGTTAAACTAGAGTCTCCGCTTATAAAGGTGACACTGCGGATGACATTTCTAAGCCGTCAATCTTCTTGTGTCGTCATCGTACCATCTCAACTAGCGAATCACGCTTGACTACGTATTACAGTTCCCACATACTGAGTATGCACCTTCGAGTTGTTTACGCAGTTACAAAATCAATTTCTACCTTAATTTTCATACCTTTACGGTTGAGATCGGCCAGAACAGAAACGAGATCGATAATATAAAAATTACAAATAACCTTGGTTCCGAGTATTATTTATACCTGAAAGAGAAAATCACCTATAAAGATTGTTACATAACAACCTCTTGGTCACAAGAGTTAAATAAGAAAGGCGCTCACAAGTACCGCCCACAAATTGCTTTTGGTTGCGAAACATGAGGGGTATCACCTGTTTACACCTTAAATTACCTCTGGGAACAAGAAGGTGTCGAACGCGACCTATTACCAGGGAGATTTACTCTTCCTGGACTAACAAATTAACTTAATTAAGAACATGGCTTATCACGAGTTCCCTGTCAACCTCACGATAACAACGAGGAAAACGTGATTAAACTCACTAGGAGAACGTGGCCAAACTCACAAGAAGAACGTGACCAAACTCAACCTTTAAGATAAGCCCACCAAGAAGGAGTAAGAAATAATCAACCTTCCTTTTTTTATAATTTGCATTAAATGACTTAAAATAATATAATATTTCCATTCCTTTTTTTTCGACACCAATACAAGGAAACCCTTACGATATTGTAGATTAACTATAATTGTAATTTTATTGCGAGACTCCCATATGTAATCCACTCCCCGTGGATTACATATAAACTGAATCGCAAAATTTATAAACGGAATTTATGAAGAAAATTGCTATTCAGGAAAATAACCCGACGGCTTGGGAACGATATAAGCAAGTTCGAAACGAAGTAAACAATGCCATTAAATCGGCAAAGAAACAGTATTTTACGCATAACTTGGAGGTTAATAAAATGAATCCTCGAAAAACATGGAAGCTGATTGACGACCTAAGTTCACGCAAATATAGCAGAGTACGAAATATTTCCGAAATTAAGGTAAACAACGAACCTATTTCTTCTACGGCTGAAATGGCAGAAGTCTTTAACGATTTTTTTGCAACTATTGGATCAAATTTGGCTAGTGAAATACAACCGTCAACCATTGAGCCAGAATTCTACAATATTTTCTCTTAAACTCCCAAGCGAAAACAATGTATGCTAGTTAGGAAGAAAATGAGGAAATGAGCAAAAGCAAGACAAAAATATCCATGCACTTCTTGCCTCTTTTCATTAAAAACACTCAATACAAAACTCAATGGATACCCAGAGGAGGCTTTATATACAAGACATGGATCCAGGTCCCGCAAAAATATTGCACAAACCAGAGAAACTAAAGGTGACACTCAGAAAATGCGTAGCCGTATGAAAAGGCCGGTGGCTGAGCACGGCAGCAAGACACAGGAAAATTAGCGAAGAACATCAAAGCTATTTGCCTTCAAACACCCATTTGGAAGGTAAGCTGTCATCGAAGTATTATCTCAGGTTTACTGGGCAGTTTTAATGGGAAATGGCAGGGTTTTTCGATGGCTTGCTCAGAAAGCGAGCTAAGGCTAGTCGAATTATTTACATTTCCTGGTGAAACAAAATCTCTTCGAATGGTCAAACTGGGTCAACTTGTATGAGGCCGCTCGCCTCAGAAATAACATTTGCCAAGAAAAAATTATATCACGTTCAAAAACAGCTATTGTACCTGCTAGAATTTAATTTTGAAAGAATTCTACATTAAACCGAGTATGTTTTGAGTTGTTTGAAAACGGTATGGAATGTTTGATTTTCAGAGTCTAGAAATTTATGTTCTCTTCGCTTGCTCTCCAGGAATTCGGAATTACTATTGTAAGCCTAAAATATCATAAAGGCAACTTAGCAATACCTCCTAAATAAAAATTATAAACTATAAACGTTTATCTTCTAAGATGAGGATTTTAGGTTTTCACAGCAACTGAATGGAGATTATATGCCGAGTTGTCCTAAAACGTTGCGTTAACATGATCGGTCGTAACACTTGCGCGCTTGCGTAACTTACAAAGTAGACAAAGGTGATCGATAGGCGCCTTCTCGATAATTTATAATGGTAATTGAACTGAGTGGAGTGCAATTTGGGCTGAAATCATACGCGTGATTCCAAAATTGAACGAGCGCGCAGCGCGAGTTCGATTTGAAATCACAAGTATGATTTCAGACCAAAATTGCACAACACGAGGTTCAATTACCACTTTATTACATCCATTTTGAAATCGCCCAAATACAGGACTTGGTCAGTTCAAATATTTTATTAATACAATACTGAGCTGGTTTGAAATTAAATTCATCCATTTTTTGGGAGGAAAAAATAAGAGTTTTGGAAACAAAAGTTGCAAAATTTGCCACATGATAATCCATGTCTTTCATCTTCCTGCAATATGATCGGTTACTTTAAACAAACCTTGAAGTCTGATTGGTTGTTTTGTTTTTAGTGTAGCCTCCTCATTGGCTGGGGAAAAGATGCGATTTAAAGTAAAAAATGGTGCAATTTGTGAATAAATCGCACCAATTAGAGCCAATCAGATTACAGGGACCATCAGTGATTTCAAAATGGGTGTAATAAACGTTGAAATATCAGGTCATGAATTACGCACGGTGTGGAGAAGATTAAAATTAAAGAATAAAATTTGGCACTCTGGCCATAACAGACATATCGCGTTGCTTAAAAGGACACAAAAACAAGTTAAAATAGGTTATAGTGTTCATATTTACAAAACAACACGCATACACTCTGAAACAATTCTTGGAGTTTCTCCCGAGATTTGGTATACGGAACCCGATGAACTAACCCTCCTTTCTGCAAATTTGTTCCTATCATTAATGATGTTACACTCTTATGGACCACAACGGTTTTGAGCGACAAACTCAACATTTCCCTGCGACCATCAAAATCAACTGGACAAATCCAGCTTGATATATTGCGTGAGGCGATTGTGCAAACTTTTCTCTTTGTCATACGACCTGTTTCGCGGGTTCTACAAGTTGGAACCAAAATTAATTAATGTAACGAATTAGAATCGAAAGTTATTAAAATGGACTGAATTACATTTTAATGAGAATTTTAACTTTTAAAAAGGTTTACTTGATTCATAATAATAGGATAATAGGAGTTTTCTTGCATAGGTTTTTATAATTTTTAACAGGATATCACATTTTTAAAGAAAGCCATTTAATCACTAAAATGATTAATAAAATTGTATTTTACGTCAGTGCTTTTGACCTCATAATGATTGAGTAATAATGCGTTTACGAGATCTTTGTAAAGGAATACAAACTAATGGAAAAAAGGAAGGCTCTCTTTACAACCCTCCCTTTGGAATCACTTTCCACTACCCTGCAGTCAAATTTGGTGTGCATAGTGACGGAAATAATTTACTCAATTGAAAAGGAAGATCATAGTCAATGCCAAGCTCTGTTCTGTTGGGATCAACATAAGCTAAGGAGCAACACTCAGCATCCTTCAAACCGGACACATCATGAAGATTGAACAGGATCTGTATTAGTAACAGAATCAAGGTTGTAACTACAAACTGTGCAACCGTTTTTTTTACTAGGAAATGTTATTTTCTGGAGGGGAAGGAGTGACTGGAACTTTCAAGTCAAAGTAGTGATAGCTAATGGGCCCATAATGTCTTTTTTAATAATTGTCCAACAACCCTGTAATGATGATAATAATAATATGTTGCTAATAATGATGTTAATGAAGGGTAGGGGTTAATAATCTTAATAATGATGATGCGATAACAGCTACCGGCACAGTAATGTTGGAGAGGCCATATGCAAGTAACCACTTGCCTGACAAACCTGGCAGTGATCAGGTGGCAATCACTTCACCTGGGAAGTCCACAGGTGATGCAGCACTTTACTTGGGGAGCAGGTGTCTGGCCCAGACCTCAACCCCTCCCCCCCCAACCCACCAGAATAATGATGATGACGATGATGACAATGAGCGTGAAAAGTATAATATATATGACATAATGCGCATTGCATGACACCCAAAGGACCAGCTCTGAGGTAAAATGGTAAGAAAGCATAGAAATAATTACTTGTATGGTTCCCAAAACCCATTACTGATTGGGTTTTACTGGCCAGGAATTATGCCTGTTTGATTCAAACTCTCAACAACAGAGCTTTAAAAGCTTTAATTTCCCCAAAGTACAAAATGTTTTGCATCGTTATGATGGTTTACATTGTACAATAAATAAACTCTAGATAAAAATTACTACTGTTCAGTTCATAATTGGGTTTTATTGGCCAGAAATTATGCCTGTTTGATTCAAACCCTCAACAAAAGAGCTTTAAAAGCTTTATTTTAAAACTATAACTATCATTAGAACATACTTTATTTATAATTCTTGGAATTTGATTCCATTTCCCCAATGTACAAAATGTTTTACATCATTATGATGGTTAACATTGTACAATAAATAACCTCTAGATAAAAATCACTACTGTTCAGTATGACGTATTGTAGATGACGTTTGCTAATTGTACGACTGTATGTCGTATATTACATTGGTATAATTGCTGGTGATTATAGAGTTGCCTGCGCTGTGATTGTTAAGGATTGCATCATATCTTGCCATATGAACCTTGCACAGGAGGCTTTTCACAGGAGTGCTACATTTCAAAATAGTTGCCTTGTATTTTGACATTGTTACCGAGTAAGTGATGAATGCATTAGAAAAAATTCAATTCCTAAGAGCAAAAACGTACCATCAAGTTTAGAGGAACACTTTAAAAAAAGAGATACGAAGTTTTTGTTGATTGAATTACATGAACCCATCAAATTGTAGTGGAAACTGGCCCTTTATCTCGATGTGAGTAATTAAAACAACTGGAAGAGAATGGTTTCAACTTCAAACAAATATTTACCACAGAATTCTACCACACCCAAGCAATTAATACACTAAAACAACTATATATCTCAGGCTCAGTGAAAATATTGAATTATCCCCTCAACTTTGTCTTTGGGATTACTGGTATTCAATAGTATTAAATTCATTTCAAATACAGCAAATAGTTGTTAAATAGAGAAGTTATAAATAAATAATAAAAGTTAAAATCATAAATAAGCCCCAAAACAGCATAAAAACAGATCAACTTGTGGCCCTCCTAAATAATCAATCACCAAGAACTTGGAGAACTACCTAAGTTATTTATGCTCCCTAAAGATATCTAAAAAAACATATACAAATACTAAAAGTAATTATAGATGTGAGCTCTTTATTGCATTCTGACTGTCCAGGAGAAAAACAAGGAGCAAACTTCTGGAAGCTTTACTTATTGGTAAGCCTGCACAATGCAATGTGTTTCATGCTCTCTAACATTATGACCAGCTTCAGAATTCTATCAAATAGTCACAAAGACAAAAGTAGACTTTAATGAAAAAAAAATAAAAAAAATAAAAAAATAAAAAACCCATGTTCAGCAAAATGATCTTGTACACATGTGCATACATTGTACATTTAATAACCTTCCTACAGATTGAGAGTTTGCCGCAAATGGCATTCATCATTGTAGAAATTCTTAAAATATACCATAAGTTAGTCACCAATAGTATACCCTAGGTCAAACAGCTGCTGAATGACATCCATTCCCACAAGCAGATCAGTGCCCTTGGCCGGGGCATCAACCAATGCACAAACACTAAACTGGTATCCTCGAATTGCGAGCACAATTTGTATGGTTTCAAACTGGCCAGACCTTCTTCCTGCTAATTTAGCTTTCCTTTTCTTGTTGGGATCAGGTTGCAGGTTCAACTTCAATAGAAGCTCTCTGGATATGCCAGTGGCTACTTCATTGCCAGTGTCAAACAAGACACGCCAATGCCCTGGAACTGGAATCACCTCACCAAATTCATTCCGCATCTCAACTGGTTCTTCATCCCTTGATATGACTAAGGGTTTATACCCTGAAAACAGTATAAAAATACAAAATGGTAACTGCAGGGTAGATTAAGAAGCTAGTTTCCTCAAAATTTTCAGTTCAGGCTTACTCAAGGATTTTAAAACAGGCTTATCACTGCCAGAGTTCCACCAGCTACTTTATAACACATTGCTGGTTACTCTGGTCAAAACAATTTCCTTTAAACCCTCAATGAACTTTTCACAGTCATCTACTTTTGCTGTCTGATGTCTACTTCAAAACATTTTGATACCCCTGCTTACTGTAATGTAATCTGCAAATAATGAGGTAGTTACCTAATACATGGCAAAACTGCTAAATCCAAAGACATAAGCAAAGACTGCAAAAAAAACACTGACAGAGCAAACATCAAGCCAACAAAGAGACTAAAATTGTGACTTGTGAATTTGCAAGGTGTAACTGTAGCATAATTTGGCCAAGGTAAATGTGTTACCAGTAATTTCTATTCAGGATAGTAACAGTAGATAGTAACATAACATTTGATAGGAACCAGGAATAGACATTGGTTCTCAATCAAAATCAATATAAACATTCAATTACTTTAACTTCATTTGGTTAATTACTGGTACCTTCACACTTAAAGGTACAGGTTTTACATCTTACAACCTAATTTAATGAAATTCTGGAAATTGGTTTCAGTGCTGGTAATCATTAACTTAGACTCCAGTTCAAGATTTTCTTCCCAATTTCTGAAGTAAGTTTTATTTTCACAACATATTCGGTTGTGTATAAATAAAAATTAGTGTGATGATCTTATTGTTGGCCATAAGTTGTTTGCTTCTCTATGGCTTGCATATGTATTACTTAACTCAATACACAATATTTACTGCTAATCACCTGGCAATTTTATATGCCTGTTGCAGCAATCAGGGAAAAATTACTGGGTGTGTCCAGTGCTGGGATTGCAATTATCGCCAATTGCCATGATTGATAAAATTGCTGATATCTGATATGACAAATACTGGCAAATAAAATTTCCAAGTGTGTCAGTGGCTCTATTGTTTGTGTCATGCAGTAAGCTTAATAACATATGCATAATTCTGATCACTTACTTGAAATCAGGCCCTCACAAGTAGCTTTCCTGGCTTCATCAAACTTAACAACTGCCACACCACCTACAATATCATCAGCTACATCCCATGGCCTCTTAAGTTGCAAATGAACTGGTTCTCTGGATAAGACCAGGCTTTCTCTACAGTTCAGAGGCATTTCTGACCACTCTCCATTTATTGTCTTCAGAGTGATTCTTTCATTATTGATCGTACCAGCCCTTATTCCAATAAAGAAAATTCTGGCACATGCTGAATGGGCTTGTAATCTGTGAAACTTTCAATGAGAAAGGAAAACAGATTGAAAAAAAGTGCAATTAAAGATATACTGACTGCATCTGGTGGGGTATACCTATAGTATGCTCAGTCCTTACTTAGCAAGGTCTTAGGCACCAAGATACTTCACTTCCAGAGGGGGATATTGGGGTCTATTAGAAACTGCAAAACCGTAGAAAAAAAATCATCCAAAACTGCAAAACCACAAAAAAAATTGATCAAAACTGAAAACTGCATGTAAAACTGTCAAAATCAATAAATTTTCAGATCCCAGTTAAGAAAACCCTAATTGATCTGATGCAGTGGTGACAAGTGCAGCATACAGAGGTTTTGCCGCTATTCGAGATCAGTGGAGGCACATAATTGCTGCTCAGATCGAAAGAGAAACGGGAACCCAAATAGGAAAAACGGAAAACCACATGAAATACCAAATCTGAAAGTCCATTAGTATTACAGATGAAAGCCAAAAACCAAATGGTAAAAAACAGCAGTGTTCTCTCTTATTTTAAGCATGATAGGTAAAATAGATTTTCAAACTGGTAAAGCGATCCTTTTACCTGTTGAATTTTCAAGAATTCAAAGCAATTTTAAATGGTAATAAGAGGTACTGTAGGTGGTAAATGTTACTGCTTACTGCCTAAAAAAAGAACACTCAACAGAAAATCTGCCAACCACAATGAACACAAGGACTGAAAAACCTTTCACTCTGTCTTTCTCTGGTCAAGATTGAACACCAGATCAACACATGTCTGTAAAATAGAGATGATGCTGGAAAGTAACTTACAATAAACTGTTATATTCCTCACAAGAAAGAGTAGAAATAATAGGTCAGTTTCATTTGCAAATATCCCTTAAGCTACAGCGTACAATTAGTTACCTCTAGGTTGAAACATTCATGTGCCTCTTTAAATCCTCCATAAACACTTCCATCATCTTGGAGGTCCATTAGTATTTTATCCACATCCTGTTCAGGAAACAGAAATCAATCTTTTTAGTACCACAGAATATGAAATAGAAATCTTGTTGGCACCTCTACACCCTCATTCCAGCTCAGGGCTTTCTTCTTCCTGTCACCTCTTGCTCCAAGGGATGGGAAGAGGATCATAAGCTGGAGTAAAAAGCGGATCTAACTTACACTTACTGCAAGTTTGGGTTGGGCCAATAAAAAAAATGCCCTCTGCGTGTGGAATACGTGATAAATGCAGTTTGTTTACAAGAATTGACATGCGATAGGGTCAAGTTAAAAAAAAAAAAAAAACTGAAAAAGCCAATTGAAAAACAAGTCTTGCAGGGGGGAGGGGGGGTCTAAATTTCCCAAGACACTTAGACAATATAAGTTTCTCAAAAATCAGCTGACAACTGCACTGTTGAAAGCTTACCTGTGGTTTACAACTGACATTCCCGCAAAAAATAAACAGCTTGCTGGATCTTCCTCGGTGGCTTTGACAGCTTGATTCAACTTGATATTCCAGACAACATCCAACTTTGAGTCCTTTCTTTGTTACCTCTTCATTTGTCCAGAAAGATCTGTTCTTTAACTTTTGTAGCTGGAAGGGTTCTCCTTCACCACTTTCACTGCTATTGATCTTCCTGCAGAAAACATTGCTGGTTGTAGATGAACCACAATTTCGTGCTATGGCAACAACTACACAGCGGCCACAAGTGGGGATTAATGGAGATGTATTCAGTCCAGGCTGGTGCTGTAGAACATATAGAGAGCACTTAGAGCAAGGAACAAGACAAAATATGCTCAATAGAATACATAAGAAAGTTTGCAGAACAGATCTTCAGGTACATGTATTCTGAGTGATGAATGAAAAGGTTGTCTAACCCGCACAAATTCTGGATGTGGCCCCACATATTTGAAATTTTCATTAGTGTCATCAATTTGCATAGGTGACTATTCAATCACAAACTCTGCAATCAGAGAAGTGACCATAAGCTGAAGCAATAAGATCCCTAAGATGTCCATGATAGGTCCACAGGACATCTCTTACATGGGTTTTGCAATATTTAAGGTGTTCATTGAGGGTAAAAGTACATGGTAATTTTAAGACTGAAAAAGGGGTGACCCCTGACAAAGGCACTAGACAGGAGAGTCAAAATGTTGGGTCTATGAATTGTAACGTCTTAGTTTCATTCATTAAATCTTTGAACCAGAGTAGCATCAACCATGTCTGCTTGTCCACCTGGTTGCCATGCAGGGTTCTCCCTTATTTTAAGCATGACAGGTAAAATAAATTTTCAAACCGGTAAAGCAATCCTTTTACCAGTTGAATTTTCAAGAATTCCAAGCAATTTTAAATGATAATATGAGGTACTATAGGTGGTAAAGGTGGTAAAAAATTTGCTTTAACTTGTCTTTAATAGTCTCTCATTACTCATTATAAATTTAAGAAAAACAATCGCATTTTGTCTCTCTGTCAAGAGTAAACTTGTTTGATTCTGTTTATTTTAAAAATTACAAGCAATCCTTTTGCATAGTTTGTGTCCTGACCATGTTTGGGACCTGAGATCTAGGGCCTGGTCACTTATGAGTCATGATAAAAACTTCACCTGTGACTCCTGCCTTTGGGGTGTTACAAGTATATGGCCAGTTTGCCAAAGTATTTCCTAAATGACAAGCCACACCCTTTATTTCAAACCTTACTCCCTTGGTTTGTACATGTGTGAAAATTGCATAATTGCATAAATGGGCAAGATTGACTCCTCACATCTCTCTTGAGGGTTAGGTGACCTTCAACAGTATACAAAATGAAACTCTGTTTTATCTCCAATAGACCCCAACCAAAGATAAATTGCTTTCTCATAAGCATAGCTTTTGCTTATCAGGATTTTGCCCTCTGTGTGTGGAATACGTGACAAATTCAGTTTATTTACAGGAATTGACATTTGATAGGGTCAAGTTAAAAAAAAAAACAAAAACAAAAAAAGGAAATTAAAAAACTGCAAGTTTTTCAGGGGGGAAGGGGGGGTCTAAATTTGCCAAGACACTAGGACAATCTAAGTTAATTACTCAAAAATCAGCTGACAACTGCACTGTTGAAAGCTTACCTGTGGTTTACAAAAGACATAATTTCCTGAAAAAAATGAACAGCTTGCTGGATCTTCCTCGGTGGCTTTGACAGCTTGATTCAACTTGATATTCCAGAAGACATCCAACTTTGAGTCTTTTCTTTGTTACCTCTTCATTTGTCCAGAAAGATCTGTTCTCTAACATTTGTAGCTGGAAGTGTCTTCCTGCACAGGTTCCACTGCTATTGATCTTCCTGCAGAAAACATTGCTGGTTGTAGATGAACCACAATTTCGTGCTATGGTGACAACTACACAGCAGTGGATTAATGGAGATGTATTTAGTCCAGGCTGGTGCTGTAGAACATATAGAAAGCACTTAGAGCAAGGAACAAGACAAAATATGCTCAATAGAATACATAAGAAAGTTTGCAGAACAGATCTTCAGGTACATGTATTCTGAGTGATGAATGAAAAGGTTGTCTAACCCGCACAAATTCTGGATGTGGCCCCACATATTTGAAATTTTCATTAGTGTCATCAATTTGCATAGGTGACTATTCAATCACAAACTCTGCAATCAGAGAAGTGACCATAAGCTGAAGCAATAAGATCCCTAAGATGTCCATGATAGGTCCACAGGACATCTCTTACATGGGTTTTGCAATATTTAAGGTGTTCATTGAGGGTAAAAGTACATGGTAATTTTGAGAGACTGAAAAAGGGGTGACCCCTGACAAAGGCACTAGACAGGAGAGTCAAAATGTTGGGTCTATGAATTGTAATGTCTTGGTTTCATTCATTAAATCTTTGAACCAGAGTAGCATCAACCATGTCTGCTTGTCCACCTGGTTGCCATGTGAACTTTATTACATTTTATAAGCAAAGATATATTTAACATGCAAGAAAAATATCATATTTCAAGGGCTTTCACAACTGTAGTTGTTGCTCATCAAGAGTGTGTGAAAAGTCAAGTTTTCACACACACGAAAAAAGGCTGAATGAATTCATGATGAAGAGCAAATTGAAACAGAGAAGTTTCGGAGTGGGGGGGGGGGATCCAAATCAATGAGAGGGGTCTAAGAACACTAGGACAATGTAAGTTTCTCAAAAATCAGCTGACAACTGTACTGTTGATATAGTAGTAAAAGTTTACCTTTCGTTCACAACAGACATTCCTGCGAGAAAAACTCGATGTGTCTTCCTCCGAACTTCGCAAAGCTCGTTTGAATCTGACATTCCAGAATACACCCAACTTTGAGTTTTCCATTTGTTACCTCTTCATTTTTCCAAAAAAAAATGTTCTCTAAAGTTTGTAGCTGGAAGATTTTTCCTTTGGCAATTCCACTGCCATCGATCTTCCTGCAGAAAACATTGCTGGTTGTAGATGAACCCCAATTTCGTACTATGACGAGAACTACACAGAGGCCTCTTTCAGGTACTTTCCAAAAAGGTTCTTTCCACTCTATAGACGGGTACTGTGGAAAAATGGCTGACTGAATGAATTGAAGGATATCACTAAGGAAAAACCATACAACGCCAAATTTAATGCATAAAGAAGAAGGTGTTACTGAGTAAAGCCTTCACTCAACAGATATACTTGGATCAAAACATAGAAAATTCAATTTTAGAAATGATTTCTAAAAACTACCTTGGTGTTGAAATTAATTCCAAAAAGTCATTAAGAGGAGAGGTCGTATGAAGTAATGTACGTAAAATATCTGCCATCCTAAAATTGGCAATAATACATGCAATTCATTGCATCAGCCATTTGAATAAGAAAAGCTGTGGGAAGCCGGAAGTTGGGAGAGGGGTGGGGAGCTTACCAGAAATTCGCTGATCGTTTCATACATAAGACCAGAGACAGAAAAAAAAAACCAAAATACTAAAAATTGAACTCCAAACAAACTAAGATACAGTTACAATTTATGAATTAAAAGGTAACGGGGCCGAAAAGATCAGATCGGCGACACTAAACGACAAATTATTTCGTGCAAGAGTGTCCCCCCCCCCCCCGAAGAAAATAAAACTGAGTAGGGCGGGGATGATCGACTGAACACAAACCAATCGAATGCAAGCAACGATTGGCGCCAATCCTAAAACATCACATGACACAAATATACTGCACGAATTCAAGATGGACGACGACGACGAAATACAGGTTGTAGAGGTTACGGTACGTGTTTATAGACATAGTCTAACCTTAATTGTCTATTCTTACATTAGAGTGGAATTATGATGATGGCTTAAACAACCTTGCTCGGTGAAGTTAACCATCTCTGGGCGAAGTATCGGAAGATCGTTTGCAAATTAAACTATTTTTTTTCAACGCGCTCTATTACGCAGGGAGGATTTACGTAACTTGAAGTAATATCTGCAGTTATTTGTTGTTTCAAGAAAACGATTAATCGATGTGCGAATGATATTGATCCCTGGTTTGATGTTGATGCAATGATATGTATATTTATTGCACTTCGGCGTGAGATATATTTTTTTTGGCGGGATCTGCCTCAAGGCGCGCAAGATTTGTGATCTCTTGTTCAATTTTAAATCATCGTTCTTATTCAAACGTACACGATATTTCTCAACCATCAAGGGTGAATGTGTAAGCTACCTCTGAGTCTCTTTATTTTCTTTAAAAGCTTTTAGGTTGTAACTGATGCCAGAAGGGAATAATAACTTTATTAATTTTTTATAATTTATTTAATTATTATTAAATTATTAAAAAGAAGGAAGTCAAACTTATTTTGTTCCTAAATCGTGACATTTATCACGAAAAAATTAAAATGAACTTTGTGTTGGTGGTATGGCCAACTTCGCCGTGGATTAGGAGATGGTATTCCTCTTCTCCCTAGACTCTTCAGTAAAAATGTAGTGGTGATACTAGTATTTAGTATTTTGCTCATTTTATCAGTTTCTTTTCAGGTATGCCGTTCCTCTTTGCCTAGGAAGAAACGTAAACGAGAAGAGTCACCACCAAAAGATGCAATCATTCCCTGTAGTGACGAAAATATTCTCCACAAATTAGCTCAGCTAAGAAGGAGGGTAAGTAATGATAACTGTATGTATATTGTCTTTTATCTGTTATTTTTGTACCCTTAACTCTTTTACTCCCAGATGTGATTAACTAGTAACTTCTCCCTATAATATCTGAACATTATCTTACAAACAGGTCATGAGAATCTTCAAACTTATTAGGTTGAAGTTGTTATCTTTATCTGATACCAAATTCTCCTAACTTATTTACAAGGAAATGTGTAACAGCTGGAGGGGAGAATTGACAATCAGATCTTGGGAGTTAAAGAGTTAATATAAGGTTGAAGACCAGATGTTATAACTGGTTACATGTAGAAATTGATGGTGTTACATGTACATATCATGCCTTTGTGCTTTACAGTACATGAATACAACATACATCTGTTCACTGTAGCTGCCATTTTGTTTTCTCTTTTGACATTCAGCGCTTTCAAGTGGGTACAGTCAAATCTCAATTTTTCAGACCGATGGGGACTGGGCTGAGTGTTTTAAATAATTAAGAGTTTGGAGAACAAAACACATGAATAGTAATGAACCAAAAATAAAACTGAATAAATTTACTTATTGTCCTATCAAACCAGTGCCTTTTGTTGTTAATATTTGTGAAAATATTTGCAAAAGTTTTGAAGTTAACAAACAATGTTCTACAGAAAGCAGAACAAATTCAGTTTTGATGGGAGTTTCATTACATTTACTTTGTTTAATGGAAAGAAGTTGTTACATATCTCAAATATGACTAATAAATAGTCATCAAAAGTAGGACCAAGGAAGTAAGTCTGGATAATAAAAAAATCAGGACTATTGAGGCTTGGAAAATCAAGGTTTGACTGTATCAAGTACTATTGAAACTCAGGATAGCAACAAAAAAAGTATCTAGTAACCTTGGATTTGAAGCTGTGATGGGAGGCGAAACAGTTTAACACTGCCATTTAGATTGCAATATTCTTGACTAGACAGCACCCTTTTTATCTCTTTGATCTAACTTTGACCTGTTTCTTTTCCAGAACAGTATTGGATTTGCTCTTCTGTTAAGGTTCAAAGTTGAGTAAGGGAAAGGGGTATTGCTTGGAACTTTGGCAAATTTAAAGTGCTGTTTTCAATACAGCCTTAAAAAAGACATGCAAATATGACATTCTTGGTTAACCCTTTACACTCTTACTGTATCACCCTTGAATTACTTATTAAGGTTACAAGAATAAGGAAAATGATCACCAACTAAAGAAGCTCTTGATTGTTATACAGATTCTCCATTAAATGATGTATAGAGAACAGTTTGGAGAATATGCATACTAACGTTTGGATGTAAAGGGTTAAAGTACCATTTCTTGTATTTGTTTGTAAAAGGCTTTAATCTTGATTTTTCCTTCTTTGCAGCTTGAATTTTGTGAAAAAGAGAAACAAGTACTTTCTGAAAGGATTGCAGAACTTGAGGAACAGCTAACAGAAGAACAACGTCATGAACTTGAAGTCAAGTTGGAAACGTCTGAAAAACACATACCTCTTATTTGTGTTGGTGACAACAGTGAAGATGATGACATCATATTTATTTTGCCTGAGGACTACTCTCCCAGAAAGAGGTTGAAAATTGACCATGAAAAGAAAGCTCATAGGATTGGTGACCAAGATAACCAGGCTAAAAAAGACTTAGCCATTACTTACTACAAACCTGGTACAAATCTACCACATGCCAGGGAAAACTGTTCAGCTCACAAGTTTGTTCAGAGCAATGTAACTACAGCAACAGTATCATGTAATGAGAACTATTGTGAGCAGTGCTATTGTTATGTATGTGATGCTAATGTGAAAGAGGTGAGTTATTTTCTGCTTTATACATAGAAATGTAATTTGAACAAAGTCCTAGGGAAATGCATTGGTTAAGAGTATGCCAACCTATGTCCAAATGTCTAACAAACAGAAATTCTGAGCAGATGAGTATCGCTTCTAAATGGCTTGTCTGTGGAACAACTGCATTGTAAAATTTCTCTCCCACCCACAGATGGGTCTGGAACTTGAAAAGATTTGAGAGTACAAAATGCAGTGTTTAAATGTTGTGGTCAGTTATGGTAACATCTGGGCAGATAAATGCTTTGTTTATTGTATTACATAAAAATTTTTTCCTTTGTTTTCTCACAATGGTAGTGTAATTCCTGGAAGAATGGCACTAATCCTCATTGCAATGCATACTCTAAGAATGCATTTTGGGAAAAACTTCGAAAGATGGCAAAGAGAAAAGTGGTATGTTTAACTGAAGTGTTGTGCAACATTGTGTGGTAATATTTTATTTTTGGTTCAATGTTGATTAATATTTACACATATAACAGGTCACAAGAATTAGATGCTTGCATTGCATTAAATCTTTTACCCAAAGAATTATTCTAATTTATTTTGTACCCAGGAAGGAATTCTCATACTACTAAATTAAGCAACAAGAGCCTACTGTAGAAAGTAGCAACACCTTGAGCAACCATCTTCTAAAGCTGAAAAGTAATTTTTAAAAAAAGTTTTTGGTTGAAGTTTTTGTCTTATTACTTAACATACACTGTGCATGTAGCATACATACAGTATCCAATTTGTTTCCACCAATTGAAAATTAATTATTAGTTTAAAGCTTGCACACATATTATAATTGATTGTGTGTAGGGTTAATTATTAATATAAACTACCCACTGTCTAATATTAGAACTGTATCATTATTTGCAGAGCTCTGTACAGGATTCATTGCTTAAGTGTTTGCCTGCTAATGAGCAATCAAAGTTATTGCTAGAAGCAGGTAGGTATTGTTGCTCATACTTGTCTGTTAGAGCTTAATGTTTAATGTTAATGTCTTTATCCTCCTTTTTATCCCCTCTCCTCTTTTGTCTTTCATGTTCATCATGTCCTTTCCTTTCTTTTTTCTTTTTTCTGCTCTTTCTCTGCCAATACAGCAGGTACATGTACATAAGTATGCATGTAAGTAAATATCCCCTTTCAAATGTTCTTTTCTGTGTGATTGTCTACTCTCCCTTTCAATCCCTGTTTTCTTCCCCTAGAGTTTCCCTGAAGTCTTCATCCTGCTTGTTTATTTTAAATTTCTTTATATCCTCTCTTTATCTCACCTTAAAACATACATGCATCTTTCTCCTTTTCCTTTCTGTTCCTTCCCATTTGCTTTGTCTCCTCAACCCATTTCTCTTTCCCTCTCTTTCTTCCTTTTTTCTCTCCTCTATTTTTCTCCCCTCCCTTCAGCCACTTACATCTGTGCACAATTATCCACCCTTACTTTCTTGGTTATTCCTTTTCTGCTTATTGTGTCTAGATTAGTTGTCTTTTCCTTAAAGCTTTGCAAATGTCAAAGGCTATAGTGTACATGCGGTAAAATCTAGATGATATTTATTTTGTTTACATCATAGCGGAAATGGTCACAGAACTCTTAGAGAACCTGAAAGACAAACTTTCAGACTCATCAAGTGGCTATAGTTCAAGGTCGTCCAGTCCCAGTTGTGATTGTGATTGTCATTATGACAGTTGTGGAAGTTATGACAGCCAAGGGTGTGAGGGGTGTTATGACTACCATGAAGAAAGATCGTGCAGTTTTGGTGGATATTGGTCTTTTGGTGGAATGCATCTCTCAAGGTACAGTTTACAGATTTCTTAACCCTTTTATTCCCATAAGTGACCAAAACAGAATTTCTCTTTACAATATCAATACAATATCAATCAGACAGGTGATGAGAATAAAGAAAAATATCAATTTGGAGATAGTTGATTCAATACTAAATTCTCTAAACTAACATTATATGAATTGTATGATTGAAAGTAAGGAGAATTGCAAATTTGATCAAGGAGTTAAAGGGTTAACGAGGCACTAAAGTTTGCCTCTTTTCAAACAATTGGCTTGGTACACGTTGCTCGTCCAAATGTCACTTGAGAGGCACCACAGGCTTAAATGTCACCTTAAACCAAACCTTTCAATTTTTTTTTATCTGAAATTCCTTTAGCTGTGCTTTAACTGTTAAGGTTATTTTGTTCTTGTATAGAAATCAAATCAAGAAATAACTAACTTTATCTCATCCTGGATTGTACAATGCAAGATCCAGTTATATCATGACAATATGAAATAAATGAATTTTAAGTTGTAACTTATGAAGTATTCAAGAACCTCTTCCTACATGTACTTGGTATAATGTGATTGGCATTTTTTAGAGATTTTATGAAGCTAAGTAGGATTGACATGGAATCCACATAAGTTCACATAACAGAGATATGAATGGCATGACGATGTGTATGTTACAGTTTTCAGTGATTTGATATGATGTGGGATTGTGTGGTGATCTTTTAACAAAGAATGTCAAAAGAAAATTAACCCTTTAACTCCCAAGATCTGATTGTTAATTCTCCCCTCTAGCTGCTACACATTTCTTTGTAAATTGGTTACAAGAATTTGGTGTTCTATCAAGGTACTATCTTGTAGCTGATGAGTGTGAGTACTCTCACTACTGTTTGCTGGATAATGTATGGATATTATAGGGAGAATTTACATGTTAATCACTTCTGGGAGTTAAAGGGTAAGTAAGAATCAGGAATAGAATTGCAATAGATACATATAATATTAACAAAGTTACTATTTTAAATTTTTCATTTGTGATTGTATTTGTGGTTTTTTTCTTGAAAGGTTTGACTTTAATCTAATTGACAACGTTGAGAGTACAGTGAAAAAAGCCAGAGACTTTCTTGATGATAACCAGCCTGGACCAGCAGCTATTGTGCTTGATGCTTTAACAGTTGTTCTTTTACCAGCAGACAGTGAGAGGTATGTATAAACCAAACTGTATAGATGTACACTGCTGTTTATAGTGCGCATGTCAAACCCTTTGTCTCCTAAGAGTGATTAGTATGTAACTTTTCCTCAGAGTATCACTCCTGAATCAAACATTATGGTCACGAGAATAAAGGAAATGATTTCTAACTAAAGAAATTATTGATTTTAAAACCATTTCTGCTTGTCAGCACCTTAGGAATATGCACACTACTGTTAGAATGTAAAGGTTTAACCCTTTAACTCTCAGATCAAATTTGTAATTCTCCTTACTGCCAACCATACAATTCTTACAATGTTAGTTCAGAGAATTTAGTATTGGATCAACTTATTATCCCCAAATTGACATTTTTCTTTATTTTCATCACTTATCTGGTTGATATTGTATTGATATTGTAAGGAGAAATTCTGTTTTGGTCACTCATGGGAGTCAAAGGGTTAAGCTGGATAACTTAGAATTTGAACAATTAGGGGAATATTTTTTTGTATCTTCTCCATGTCTGGGAAAATTTGAACCCTCATAAGTAAGCATGGAAAGGTACTATCACTACTAGAAAATCTGTTTTCCCAGGGAATCTGGCATCAGTTTTCTTTATTACTGATATAATTAAAAATATCCCATTTCACATTGTCTGACTTTATAATTTGTATCAGTTGATGTAAATGAAGTGTTTGTTGCTTTCCTCCAAAGGTTCCCATCAAGCCAAGTTATGACAGCGATTAAAAGGTATTCAGCTGCTTTGAAAGATAACCATTTTGGTAATTTAAACAATGATAATTCTTGTTTGCAGCAGTTTACTGAAGAAGTTTTTAAGTGCTTGAGGATGTCTGGCAATACTTGAATGCCTTTAATTTATCATTATTTTTTACTCTGCATTCTGCTCCGTTTTCTTAGGCTGCGGAAGGCTTGGATTCAAGTGTTTATGCATCCTGACTTGCCTAAAAATATTGAAGAAAAAGTTAGGGAACGTTTAAAGAATGCTGTTGATGGGGCTCAAATTTGCTCACCAGAGAGCATAGGCCTTAATGTGTGAGTCCATATTTTTGCAAGAGAGTAGCTTGTGATCTAGTCAATATGATAGAGACTTGTACATGTACATGTACTGGAAGACTTCTCTGTACTCCCCTACAAGTTACATGTACTCTAAACTAATGATAAATATGTTACTCTTTTTTGTCCTTCTAAATTGGCACTAATTGCCTTTTTTATGGAAGTACTTGTTTTTGGGCTCTAAAGGTGTGATTAATGCACGGTTGTAGGTAAGAGCCAGCAGCCAGTGAAATACGCCGGCTTCTCTGCCAGGTTTTGCTGGCTACTTTCATTGCTTCGAGAGCCTGTATAGAGATGATGTTTATCAGGTCTAAACTTTGGCTCAATAAAAATTTAAATTTGCACTCCCTATCTTTTCTGAAAACATACAAAGACTTCTGACTCAGGGTTAGTTTAAAAACGTTCTGATGGGGACTGTCTTTTTGACAAATCTTGCTACAATGGCAGGAAAGGAGGAATGGTGTGACGTTTTGTCTGCCATATTGGATTTCGAAACCCACAACCGTTTACCTTTAGAAAAAACTCCGGCTACTTAAAACCTTAAAGAAAACCCTGTTAATGTGAAAAGTGCTAATTACAGGCTGGAGTAGCATTTCTATCAAAGGATCATAAGGCTGTTGCAATTTTAGAGTAAGGTCTATGATGCTATATGTATATACTCCAGGTGATGTGTTATTGATCTCTTAAGTGTGGTTTATTTTAGGATTCTTGAAATGAGGAAATGGGATGATACTTTACTTCTTAAATGTTTCGATGGGAAATTAAAGAATGATTTCATAAGAGAAGATGAGGAAGTGGTTGAAGCTCGACTATCCTTCCTGGAAAAGAACCAAAGGTACATTTTAAATACAAATTTTTTGTGTCTTTTGGGTATTCTGTTCGTCTGTCTGTCTGTGTGGCTCTGTGTCTGTATTCTGCAGTCTTTTCTCATACAAAAATTTGGAGCCCAACAGAGCTGAATAGGCTAATTTCTGGCTTGTATCAGGCTTGATTTCCCGTTCTGACTGTTTTCTTCTTGCCTGGCTCTTGTCAGGCTGAATTACTACTTTTGTTAGCCTGAGTATCAGCCTAGTGTATGGTTCTTGTCAGGATCGTTTCTCGTTCTGTATGATTATTTTTTTGTATCTGGCTCTTGCGAGGTTGAATTCTCCTCATTTTCCACACTATGTCTGGTTCTTGTTAGGCTCTTTTCTGCTCTGTCTGGTTTGGCTCTTTTCTGGTTGATGTAAGACTCATGCCTGGTTCAAATGTGAGGCTGTATTCAGGCTCTTGTCCGGCCAGACATTTTTGTTCTGGTTTTTCCTATGTCTGTCTGTCAGTCAGCCCACTAGTCTACGAGGCTATAAGCAGTCCATTCTTTCTCACAAAGTTTATTGCATGAGTGAAAAAAAAATTGATGTTAAAGTGCTGCATAGAAATCTCTGCACTTCAAGTTAGCTCATGTTGTAGAGTGCCAGACTGCAATTGTATCTGTGGGAGGTTGATGGTGTAACCCTTGAATTCCCATGAGTGACCAAGACAGAATTTCTCCCTACATTATTCTTACAATATCAAGCAGACAAGTGATGAGAATAGAGAAAAATATAAGTTATGGGTTATTAGCTGATCCAATATCAAATTCTCCAAACTAATATCATAACAGTTGTATAGCAGACAGTAAGGAGAATTACTCATGTGGTCTTGGGAGTGAAAGGGTGAAGTCCTCGACTGGACCAATAGCAAGGGTCCTAAAATAATTGAGAAAAATGTGCCGCTTTTGCTATGGCATCCCCAAATGGTTAGACATTCTAGTCTTCTTGGAGAAGGAGGATAAACCATGTAGAACTAAAAATAATCTATTCTGAGAATAGCTACATTGTAATTGTGAGAGTGGTATATACTTATTCTCTCAAATACCGGTTTTCCTTGAAGCGTTATCATACATGTCGAGTTGTAAGACATGAACTGAAAATAATCAATTCTGAGAGTAGCTACATTGTCAATATAAGAGTGGTGCTTGTTCTCTCAAATACCCAGTTTTCTGATGCACTATCTTATGTGTTAAGTTGTCAGACATGAAATGAAAATATTTAATTCTGAGAATACATTAGCTACATTGTAATTCTAAGCATGGTGCATGTTCTCTCATATGCCAGGTTTTCTGATGCGCTATCTTACATGTTGAGTTGTAAGACATTGGAAAAGAACCACAGTGCTTCTTATTATGGCTTTGGAGGTGCTGTACCCTCCACTACTGAAAAGTGTGTGGCAAACATTACCCACTACAAAAAGAAATTTGTGCTTTTACTAGCAAAGGCAGGGAAAGTGGAACAAGCTCTTAATGTGCTGAATTTTCCAGTCTCAGGGGACATTCCTGCCAGCATTTTGTCCAACACAGGTTTTAAAGGTCAGTTTTATTGTGAGAGTGCATATCTTCATTGTAATAATCTACTAGATAATGTACTAGTATTATTATAATATTTTAGCAAATTGGCTACAAAATAATTTGACAATGGGTCACCATCAGAGATGGTTACTCTGCATGTAGATGTGGCTAGTGATCTGCCACTTAAAGCAGAAGGGAAATTATTGTTAAATGCTGTAGTCCCAATGTTGGTTAAAAAAACTCTTCATATTCCTAGAATTCTGAGTACTGGTTCTTGCTACTTCAAGAATTATCTCAAGTTAGAGGAAACTGGTCTTAGACTTCTTTTTACAGTAACTATACACAGAGTAGTTAGTAAACTATGTATACTAATTACTTTCTGTGGGTAGACACTTTTACACATAGAAGGTCAGTGTTATCTCTTACTTTTAGATACAAGAGGCACAACACCTCTAACACAATGTACCCTTGCAATAATTGATTTTGCAACAACTAAAAAGCTCTTAATTGCCATGGTAAATGAAAACAGTTCTGTGGAGGCAGGGAAGATTCCTTCACCATCCAGCATTCCAGAAGAGAAACTGAAAAAGGTGTTAGCATTTATAATGACAGCAACACAAGTGAATTCTAATCTTCGCAATGAACAGGCCTTTGAGTGGTTTATTAACACATTCTGCGAGTCATCCATTATAAACAAGTGTTCTCCAGAAGAAAATCAGGTCAGTGATGGTAATTTTTTTCATTGTCCAGTGCATTTTTGTAATAAATTTGAAATTTTTATAGGTCATCCCATAATTTCAAGTGCAATTTGGAATAAATAAATAAGTAAATCAAACAACAAGTTGTCAGTAATGCTCAAAAGTAAGGTGACTGTCCCCAGAAACTCAATTCTTGAAACTCCATTCTTAAAAACTTTGAGGATTGAAATTCAAATTGTGTTTTGAGATGCTCTAAATGAGTTGAAAGCATCTCAGAACGAGGAAGCAAATAATCTTTCACACAGTTAATTTTTCACATGAGAGGAAATTCCTTGTAGGTCACAATTTTTTCAAGTACATGCCATTTCATGTGGAATTATTAGTGTTAGAAAACTCAGGTATGTAGTTTCACCTCTTCCTGGATCTTCTCTCAAACAATAATTTTTCACACGAGAGGAAGTTCCTTGTAGGTTAAGTCAAGTAAATTTTTCCAAGACTAACAAAATTGCAATTTGTGGTCTTTGAGAAAATTTACAATGCTTATTTATTCCAAATTGTGCAAGAAAAATCATGTGATTACATAGCAATAATTTACATGAAAAAATACAAGATAGCTTATCATAATTATGTGGAAGCAAAGCATGCACATCAAGTGCTAAAATAATTTATTCAAACCCTTCATGTGACATTGTGCATTTGGTCAAAACAACAGCGTATGATCAAAACAATAATATGCAAGGATATTTTTACATCTTTAAGGCACAAAAAAGTTTAAAGTCTGGCTAAACAGTTCAAGGAATTTTTCAGTCTGGTTTGTTACTTCTTTTCACTGAATTAACCCTCTCCTGCATTGAATTACCTGAAAACTGCATTTGTCTTAACCAATCAGAACTGAGTAACTTTTTCGTGTATGTTATTACAAGTACAATGTACTAAAATTTTCATTTTTTTACATATAGATGCTCACCATTCTTGGTGGGTCAAAGTTTCCTCTCAAGTTAATTGTAAATTAACCTCTATTAGTGACAGGTGTTTCAGTGGAAAATGCCTACTATTGGACATTATGGTTGTCTGCTTAAAAACCTGGGTCTAATTGCTTCTAATTACTATCATTAGTTATTACATAATTTATGAAACCATAGCAGGATGGATGATTTATTCTTAAGATAAAATTTAATATTAAGCACTTCTAACAAAATGAATGAAGTTTACAGTAATATCAATTTTGTTATCTAGAGCCTTTCTGCAAATTTCCATGCAATCTTTTTTGGTGACATAAAGTAGCATCCTACTGTAGACTTATATTTTTTGAATTGGCCTGTTCAACAAGACAGCTTTTTAATCTAGTGGGTTTTAGCTTGCCTAAGGATTATTTTGCAAACTGTCGCATGATTTCAGAAGAGAAAGAAATATATTTGCTGTTCAAGGACTGAGAAAGTGGTGTTATTCTTACTGTTACAGGAAGTAATCAAAGCTGCTGGGGAGATTGTAAACAAAGCTAAACAGGAGTTTCTGTCACACCTTGAGGTCAAACCCCCTGAAGGTGTCTCTTTAAAGGTACACTTACACATATACATTTTCCTAGATTCAAAATAAAGATTTATGTGATTTACATGAACACCCTGATTAAGGAACAATATAATTGTTTATATTTACTAATGGAAAACAAGGGAACAAAAATTGCTCTAGTGGTCTGAGTGTACTTTAGGGAATAAACTCATGCACTGGGGGTTAACCCTTTATGCCCTTACATGTATATTAGTGTTTATATTCTCCATACTGTTCTCTGTACATTTCCAAAGAGGCTGGTAAGGAGAATTTGTTTAACAATCAAGAGCTGCTTTAGTTAGAGATCATCTCCTCTATTCTCATGACTTCCATGTTTGATGCAGGGTTGATATGGTAGGGAGAAATTAGATGCTTGTCACTCTCAGGGGCTAAAGTGCTAAGTTCATATAATGATTGTGACTTCAATAATGCCACATGCATCATGTTTTGTATTGTACATGTTTTGACCTTGACAAATCAAATTGAAAGATTAGGCTGTTCTAAAAGCAATAAAACAACAGTTAAAATTTTCTCACAGTAGTCAGATGTAATGAGGATGATGTTTACAGTGTAAATCATGGACTTAAATTGCTATTCCATTCTTAGGTATTTGTTGTGGAACTGTTTGCATCTGTTGTTGCCAATCTCTATGTCAACAACAACTGCTATCCATACTTTCCAATTAGTTACACCTTGGAGTTGTTCAAGAAAAAGGTATTTTGGATTCCTTTGTGATAATCTTGTCAGTACAATGTACAGCAATTGAGAGAAAACTCAGTGTACAGTACTTCAACTGCGTAAATGATATGTTTATCCTAAACTAGATAGTTGATTTAACTTTTGGTATGTGCAATGTACAGCGTACATTCCACATGACATTGTTCATAATTACCTCTTAATAACAGAATTTGAGGTCTGAACTGTAAGTTATGGTACAAGTTTTTCTGCTCAGCTTTATGATGTAAGCACAGAGGGGGAATATTTACATTCTAGCAAACTTTGGGAAATATGGCTTGGGCAATTGACTGGTCATAGTGCATGTCAATTTTTGGGTGATACATGTAGACTGCTAATATATAGATTTAGCCAAGCCTAAAGGCGGAGCTCGCATTTTTTTTCCGCATTTTTTTTTCCACACGTCTCAAGGACACAACGCCTTGCCCTGGCCAGGACTAGAACCTGGGTCGTCCGACTCGGAGCCCAGTGCACTGACCACTGGACTACTGGACAAAGCCGTGGCGTTGGCGTGCCCGCGGTACAGCTGACCACACATGTTAAAAGTAGCACCTTGTACGGTCATACGGTCGTACGGTCGTACGGTTGTACGGTCGTACAGTCGTACAGTCGTACAGTCGTACAGTCGTACGGTCGTACATCCAAATTTTTTTGGCTTGATGTGTTACTTCTATTTTGTATAATTATGGGGCTACGCTCTGCGAGCTCCGCTATAAATGGGTATCAGCGGTTGATCCATACATTTAGTTGATCAATGGTTTATCAGTAAAGGTTCGGCAGTAGGCTGAGGCAATAGTCAGCAAGCTTTACTATGGAGATATCAGCTATTATAGCACTCAATGATCATATCAACTGAGGCACATACATGTAAGGCCTCCATTGTGGTTTGCATCAGACCAATAATCAATTTATTTTGCAGATCTAGATTCTCTAAAATTATTCTTTCAATCAACAGGACTTGTTGTGGGCTTGTGTCTCAGTGGTGCTCTCACCAGTTCTCACCAACAAAATCAATGGTCAAATACTGAATTTTATGCAAGCAAATGTTATCAAAACACTTGGAAGTCAGTGTATTCCATATGATGTCTACAAGAGGTCAGTATACAGGTTTGCAAGGACATGTAAAGATGGAGTTAGCTTTAACAATACATTTCAAAACATTTTAACTGAACACCCTTAACCTAGACCTGTGCAAGAACATGTTCACTTGGTAAGCTCAGTGCAATTGGTCTGGAGCTGTTCTGGAAGTTTGGATTGTGTAGGATGATTAACAAACTGACAATGAGTTAGTGTGGTCTTTACTTTTATAGATGATTATATTTGTCATCACAGTGGTCAAAATGTTGTGTACTCACTGGGTGCAGCAAGTGAGTCTGCAGTAAATTTTGACCACTGTTATGATGAATGTTGTTGTTGACAAGACTACAGACCATAGTAGCACCTTGTGCGGTTGTACGGTCGTACGGTCATACGGTCGAACGGTCGAACGGTCGTACATCCAAATTTTTTCGGCTTGATGGGTAACTACTATTTTGTATAATTATGGGGCTACGCTCTGCGAGCTCCGCTATTAAGGGAGTTTGCCAAGTGTTGTCTGTTGTTTGAGAGAAGATCCAGGAAGAGGTGAAACTACATACCTGAGTTTTCTAACACTAATAATTCCACATGAAATGGCATGTACTTGAAAAAATTGTGACCTACAAGGAATTTCCTCTCATGTGAAAAATTAACTGTGTGAAAGATTATTTGCTTCCTCGTTTTGAGATGCTTTCAACTCATTTTGAGCATCTCAAAACACAATTCGAATGTCAATCTTCAAAGTTTTTGAGAATTAAGTTTCAAGAATCGAGTTTCTAGGGACTGTCACCTTACTTTTGAGCATTACTGACAACATGTTGTTTGAAAACTTTCTCCAATTTTAGTTATATTGCTCATAATTTGTTTTGTAGCTGGATAAAAAAACAGGTCGACATTGGGGGAATTGAGAGGAATTATGAGATCGCCTTGCTTATGTTAAAAGAAGGTACACATACTTTAAATGAACAGCAATGTTGTTTCAAAAGATATACTTGTCATTTTGAATTACTGTAGTGAGTATGGTTATGGTGATGATGATGACAGTGACAATTAACATGATGATTATGATGTACAGTCTGTAAAACACGAAAATTAGTTCAAATTATTTGCAAACTCCAGCCATTTAATTATTTTGAATTGGCTCTTTAAAAATTTGCTGGTATAAAGAAGTTAGGGAAGCAGTGTTCTTAGTTGTATTGAATTGAAGTTCATGATATATACATGTAAACTGTACGATTAGTGTGAAGCCTTAAGTGTCAAAATGTTTCAACAGTGATGGATTAAGGTGTCTGACTGTATATAGTGTTAATTGAAGAGATATTCCAGCCATTGGTAATTTGGAAATAATATTACTATTTAGCTTCATCTGACATACCAATGTTAGGGAATGGTGATATATGTATTTACCTAAAGATGCAGTGAACTTTTACTAATTGGCTGCCTTTACGTTACTAAAGTAACATCAACCTTGATGATTTACCTGTTGTAATAGGTCGTCTCTTAAAAAAATGTCAAGAAGGCTCATCAATACGCAAGAAAGCTGTGTCGCTTGTCAAGACACTCATTAAGACTGTTGATGCCTTGCTGAGCAAGAATGGTAGCTCTAATGGGAAGGACAGACTGTGTGTAGTACTCAAGAAGATCAAGAACGATGTAAGTTGGTTGAAAGCAAAGTAAAATAATGTGAGTTTCATTGTCTCCTTTAAAGACCTTATTAATATTTTCCATGACCTGTGATTGGGAAGTAAGTTCCAAAATAACGTGACAAAAGTTCATGCAATAAAGGCATTTTCATCAACTACTCCTTTGAAGACCTTAATGATATTTTCCTGGACCTGTGATTGGGAAGTTAGTTCCAAAATAGCACGAAAGCAAATCATTCAATAAAGGCATTCTCATTAACTACTCTAAGACCTGTGTCCAAGACTAGTATGGACCTGTGTCCAAGACTAGTATGGACATGTGTCTAAGACTAGTATGGACCTGTGTCTAAAACTGATGTGGATAGTTATTACCTAAGCTACCCAAGCGTGCAAGATAGGCCCATCTTACCTTCTTGGTATTGGCCGCTTTGATCCCTCACAAGAAAATAAGTGCATGGAGCGTACTTACAAAGTTTGTAACTTTTGGGCAATTTCGGCGATGAAGTCGCGAAAAGCAGCACAAGACAGTGAAAATGATGAAAACATAGACGACTCTTGAGGGTTTATTGCGCTACAAGCGCAGGTGGCTCTCTTTTCTAGCTGGCTCTTGAAATAAACAAGTCAATAAACAAATCCTTCATTGACCATGCAAGCTTGTTTGGTCAAGATGGCTGGATATTATCCTCGTTCATTTTTGCATTTTTATGGACCTCAACTTCGTCTCGGTCCATAAAAAGGCGAAAAGAGAACTCTGTCAATATTTAGCTATCTTAGCCAAACAAGCTTGGTCTATAACGCATAGCATTACGTAGCAATTAGCCTTCTTTTTAAATTTTTTTTTTTCAGTTTGCCAAGGAGATTGTTAAATGTGGATTAGATTCTCTAGAAGGAAAGTTGATGGGGTTGATTTTTAAAAATGATCCAAGCTTTGAGAATTTTGAAGATGTCAGGAAGGCTTGTGGGTAAGACTATTTGTTTCAAATAACTATTGCTGTGTCTTAACTTTTTGGCATCTGATTAATCAATAAGGTCTTTTAATAAATGTTTATTTGACCCTCAAGAGTGACCAGCATCTAATTTGTCCTTACAACATTTCCTCCCTAAATCAAACAGTTGGGTCGCAAGAATAAAGAAAATGATCACCAGCTGAAGGAGCTCTTGATCGTTAAACAAATTCTCCTTGTCAGCACCTAAGGAATTGTATAGAGAACAGTGAGGAGAATAGGAATCTTAACCCTTTAACTCCCGTGAGTGACCAAGACAGAATTTCTCCTTACTATATCTATACAATATCATGCAGAGAAGTGATGAGAATAAAGAAAAATATCAATTAAGGGATTACTAATTGATCTGTTCCAAATTCTCCAAACTAACACAATGAGAATCATTTGGTAGACGGTAAGGAGAATTACTTAAGAGATCTTGGGAGGTAAGGGGTTAATGTAAGGGTATAGAGGGTGAACTAAACTAAATTAAATAATAAAAAACATATTGTACAAAACATGACATACCATGTTACACAAATAAAATTTGACTTTAAAGATGTTTTTTATAAAATGATTCAAATAGTACGCACGCTCTGATTGGCCATAAAACCATTTTACATGAGCGTATGTAACCAAGGTTTTCGTTCCTCTTTTATTAGTTATTTTATAAAAGAAGTGTAAAATGGTTTCCGTGTTTACATAGCCTGATGTAATCACTTGGGAGGTTGGGAGAACACTCGATAAGCTGGAAACCACTCCGCTTCGCGTCGTTGTTTCCTACGCTTATCTCGTGTTCTCCCAACCTCCCGTGTGTTTACATCAGGCTATGTAAACACGGAAACCATTTTACATTTCTTCAATATCACTGTAAACAGAGAGAAACGACCGGTGTGAAGGTTTAAAAATTGCTAATGTACGTAACTATGGAAGTATTATTTCAGAGTTTTTGTTGAGTTCCAATCGTTGAATGCAAATTGATGGAATGTACATTTAAGATTGACCCGTATTGTCCTGTTTTCAGGGATGAAAAGTGGCCTTCTATAAAATCAGAAATGATGGACTTTCTCAAGAAGCACCTCTCGTGAGTATTACACATGTATATAGCACTATTCACAGTACAAGTCTGACCATACATTAAGCAAGCAAAGAAATTAGCAAAAGAGCAATTTAAGTTAACCATGGAAATGTTAATACTGAAATTTTGCATTGTAAACTTGTAGCAACTAATAGCTCCCCCTTTCCCCCATCCTCCAATCCAATACTCCAAAATAGTAGTTTTATTTGTATTCATGTAGGCTGGGCACATTTAGGTTGGTTACATATAGCATAGCAATACGAAATATACTTGTCTTTGAATTTCTGTGTTTTTTTTTTCTGTGTGAAGAAAATATGTTTCAACCAAAGTAATACTTGTTGTATACGGTATTTATGAAACTGATAGACACTTCAAAAGAAGCCCACATCTCTCTCTCCCTTTTTAGAAGCAGGTCTCACGCTGCATGTTGTGTCGAGGTGTTTGGTAGATATGGTATGTACGATGAAGTAAAACAAACCCTTGCTGCAGTTGGTTCCTCAAATGTTTCCACTATCTGTGAAAAGGTACTTGCAATCGTTGTAAATAATGCCTTCTGTCTTAAAGTCTCTGTAGATTATTTAAAAAGTGGTTGATCTAATAATGTTCGCAAGTGAATAGCAATGAATCCTTTAGACATGATCAGTTAACTACTCTCATGTTTCCTTTTAAACTACATATATTCATGAGTTGTTTTTGTGTCAAATTCACGCTCTTTTACTGCTCCTCAATCTCTTCACCTTTTTGCTGACTTGTGCGTCGAAATTGTTAGAAAATTGAAAATTTATTGACGCACTGTCCGGCCAACGGATCAACCGACCAGTTGAATAACTGACTGACTGACTTATTGGCTGACTGACCGATGGACCGACTCACAAATTTACTAGCTGGCTGACTGAAGGACTTCTAAGCGAAGACTGGTTGAATAACTGACCTACTGACCAGTTGACTGAAATGTGAATGAATGAAGTACTGAATGGATAGCTACCACTGTAATCTATGCATACGTCTTGATTGGCTTAGTGAGCCTTGATTAACTAAGAACATGTTAGTGCATGCAGTTATGATTGAAGGAAGTAACAACGGAAGGAGCAAATGAATGAATAAATGGCCGAGTGAATAAATGAAGGAATGAAGGAGGGTAGTAATAAATGATTAGATGAATCTATTGTAACAAGTTGTTGAATGAGTAAAGCGCTCTTAGCTGTTTTCACTTCTCTCCTTTTTCAGATTAAAGTGACTTTACTAAAGTTAGAGAAACCTGACGAAGCGTGCCAGTTTGCAGATGCATGTTGTGATTGGTTGAGTAAAACACTATGCGATGTTGCATTCTGCAGCTGGCGATATAACTTTAACAATGTAAGTGTCGAGCAAAACACTGACTTAAATTTGCTTTTAGACTCACCAGAAACAATAAATTTGCGATTTGACACTTTCTTTTATTTTACTAAAGAAGTTTAATTGTAGCAATGTCGAAAACAGTTTTGGCCAAATTTTCTTGGCTCACGCTACTCTGACTTGGCCTAACTACAGCATTTTATATAATAAGCTCAGTTATGCACGCATTCTGATTGGTTCTCACTTATGATCTACTGGAGGACAGACGTATAGATGACGTTATCATTAAAACTTTTTCCCGTATATTTTAATTCTTTATTATATAAAACAAATAGATTCCAAGTTGCCGTGAGGACGTCAAAATGTGGTAAGAACATCAGTGACGTCATCTGTGATCTATTACTGAACAGACGCACGGCAACTTGGAATCTATTTGTTAAGTTGTTTGTATCAAATTAAATTTGATACAAACAACTTAACAATTTTTGAAAACTTGAAAATTTTTTCGCTGCTGCAGTCAATTTAAAGGCAACGAGTAGTACTGTTACAGATACCTTTTGTTATATTTCCACCTCTTCTAAATGATGCAACCCTCATCTCATGTTTGCACTTTTTTTTATCTCTTCAACGGAAATTTTGTAGTTGCCTGATTCGGTCGTATCCTGTGTCAAAGCGATTGCTGCTTTCAAACAACAGACTTCTAATGACATTCTGACAGCAGCGATGCGTCATACGTCTGAGGTGAGTTTCTGAGAGTATTTTTGGCTTGAAAAATAAACAATACTGCGAAAGTTCTAAGTATTAAGTATTTTTCTCGAGTATAGAAAAGTGAGCGCGAATTATTGCTTTTCGTGGCGGGAAATTGTCGCGCGTGGTGCTCGGTGATGCAATTTTTGGCGGGAAAAACGTTTCACGTTATGAATGGCAAAGGGGTATGTTCGTTTGGAAAATATTAGATGCAGAGCGCAATTTTGGCGGAAGAACGCGAAAGCAGAAAAAGTAAAAGAAAGGGGAAAAAAGAACATGGTGTGTTTAGTTTAATACAGGATTTATCCAATATTTTTCCTGCTCCTGTATACTTTAGAACGAAACTGCCATTATCGTTTCTAATTTTGTGTGTTCTTTCCGCAGTACTTTAGTCGAAATACAGTCCAACACAAACATCGTTGCTATCTTGAACGTTGGCTCAGAGAAATCAAGGTATCAATCTTGACCACTTCGTTGCTTTTTTTTTTAAGGCAATTTTCTGTGAGTGATGTTATAAATCTAGATAATGATTTCAACGGTGCTAGAACAAAGAAACAGTTGAAGAAGCAAGCAAGCGAAGGAACCCTCAACAAAAATAGTGATGGAGAGAAACAACAGCAAATAAGAAGAGAGACTATGAACACAGTTACTAAGGGGGAGGGATGAAGCTAAAGGAAAAGTGGTGAGAAGTACAGCTGGCTGCAGAATCGGGATTAGATGAAGTTCGAATTCTTATCAGGGTCTCAGCTGTAATTCTTTCAGAGCGCGTGGCAAAGTATTAGCATAATTTGTATTTTTTCCCTCAAATTGGTTATCATAATCTTATGACTATCGTCTACAGGGACTGTTTGGAAAATGTGAGCTGACCGCGTGGAGCTGGGCCTTTCATGAGCTTACAACGGGACCGCTGAAACGAAAGTCTGCAGTGATTAAGTATGTGTCTAGCAACGTTAGAATTAAAGCAATAGGGTTTGTATACCAGAAACACCACTGATTGTGCTGCGCTAAATCAAAATCCTTCTAACCCAGAGGACTTGAATAATTGATGTAACATTAGTAAACTAATTGCAAATTTTTCTTTCGTAGTTCAAGGACCTCTGTTCAGCTCTTTACTTTGTTAAGAGAGCAAGGCAATTTTTTTGCATCGTATATAGGTGGTTTCATAAACAAATATTATTATTTATCCTGTTTTAAATAATCACATTTAAGGGGGCCATCGCTTTAAGCAGTTATTCTACTGTAAATTTCTTGTCGTATTTTTTTAAAATTGGTCATGCACTCCGTTTCAATTTTTATCGTATCCATCCTTGTTCCTATTGGCTGATTCCTGCCCCTTTGATGTTTTTCGTCCCTTGCAAACCATTTCTTAAGGGTTTCTTCCCAATTTACGAAAATTGTTTCAACAACTTCCCCACCCCTCCTCCCTTTTTTCGTCGACGTAAAAACTCCCCAAAGACTGGCACGCACCTTCCCACGGCGTCAAAAAGGAATGTGTTTTCGAGTCAATGCCAATATAATCTGAGCCACTGCGCACCTACTCCTCCCCTAACCCAAATAAAGGCAGGAAACTAATGAAAATTTAAGGTTAACGTTTGGTTAGGAGAGGAGTAGGCGGGTAGTAGCTCAGATAATGACACTGATCTGCAATTTCAATATTTTGAGACTCATTTCATTCGTTCTTTACATTACAGGCACTTGATGAACAGTACCTCTTTGCAGTCGGGAACCCTCACTTATAGTCAATTGCGTTTAATGCAAACTAAAGCTAAGGTAAACACTGCATCTAAAGACAAAAATACACCTGCACATGCGCAAGGAAAAGTTCAGAAAAGGTCAGGTTGTGAAACCCAGGCACCTGCTACGTCAACCGTACAAAAGAACGTGTCAGGAGGTTCCTTTGTGCCTTTAACCAGCGGAAAACAGGCTCAAGGGAGTGCGCAAGAGAGAGCTATGAATGCACCAGGATGTGGAACCCAGGGCCTTTTGGCTGCTACAGCCTCATCGCAGTTTGTCAATTCAGCTCAGGGCAATGCTCTATCTGCCAAAAAGGGTACTGTTGGTGTCCCTGCGGTCGCAATTGCGAACGAAAATGTCGCGTCCCTGCCCGGATCAAAAGCATCCATGTTCGTGGCAATCGCTCCAATGTCATCAGCCTCTCCATGAGTCAGTACCCCTTCAACAATCCAAACTGTCTCAGGTCCTTCCTCTGGTAAGAAGCTTGGTAACCGTGCCACCTCCTGGACCAAATAATTCTTCAGCGGTGATTTTCACCGCGTAGTGATTCGTGGCTGACTGCATTTCGTCTACAGAATTTGATCGTGAGACTGAATGAACTGAGGTTTGGTAAATCTAAAAATATTCTTGAAAATACCGCAGAATATTACTCATGATTTCTCAGTTTTCCAACGATAGACAACAGATAAATCAAATTTGTTATGTTACACGTTTTTCGGTTGAAGTTGTAGAGCTCAAGTTGCCAAATGAAAAATCAGATTCAATAAGTGATGTTTGTCTAAGGTTTACCATTGGAAAATAATTTCACGGGAATAATTTTATTGAATTCGGGTAAAATTGTCCATGTAAATACTTTCACCAAGTTTTCGTCAAATTGAAGTTAAAAAGAGTAAGTATTTTCCCTTCTCACGGGATAAGGAAGCAATAATTTTATATTTTGCAAGGCAAGGGTCATTAGAGAAGTTTGAGGGTTGGTTTGATTTAACCCTTTAACTCCCAGTTCAAATTTGTCATTCTCTTTACTGTCAACCATACAATTCTTGTAATGTTAGTTAAGAGAATTTAGTATTGGATCAACTAATTATCTCCAAATTGATATTTTTCTTTATTCTCGTCACTTATCTGGTTGATATTGTATCGATACTGTAAGGAGAAATTCTTTTTTGGTCACTCTTGGGAGTTAAAGGGTTAAGTAGAAAAGGGATACAGGGGAAGATTGGGCGAAAGAAAGTCTGAGGAGTGGGTAGCTAAAAATGATAATAATGCACACTGCTCTGGCCTCCTTCAACTCTTCCCGATTTCCTTCAGCTTGGAAATTCCCATCCACTTCTCACAATTTAATGACCCAAGTTCATGTACAGAAAAGTATCTGAATTTTTTTTGTTCTGGCCATGTCGTTAAAGTTGAAATAAATCGTTTGCCTGTTTGGTTTTGTAAAATTGTGGTCTCCGAAGATACAGTCAGTCAATGGCTGACCCTTTACACCCTAAAGCTAACATTAATAGCAAGTTCTCCATACCGATCTTAATACATTTTCTATGTGACTTACAAGGAGAATTTGTTCCACAATCAAAAGTTTCTTGAGTTCGCAATATTTCTTTTATTTTTATGACCTTAATGTTTGTTTCCGGGGTGATACTGTAATGAGAAATTAGACGCTTATCCCTGGGATTAAAAAATTAAGGTCGTAGGGGGGGTAGGGGAGTTCTGAGGAATGTTGGTTGACAATAAAACTTACCTGACCCCCTATGAGGCTCTGTAGCTGTGCAGTATTCCAATACCCCCACCCCCCTCCCTCCCCGTCTTTGATAGATATTTTTCTTTGGTCCCTGTTAAATCCAGACAGGGACGAAAATCATCCGACCCCTTTCTCCCCGTGATAGACAATAAGCAGTTCCTTATCAGGAATAAACGGGCCAGGATGAACTCACAAGAAAGGAAAGTTTAAGATTTGCAAGCTGCTGAGTAAAAGTCTTTCCGCGTTTTCAAAACGTAAAACAATACAAATATTTGAATTACAGTTAATGATTCGGATCGGGGAGTGACATTTGATGGTTGGGGTCTGATCTTCCAGGTAAGGGTAGTCCTGAGAAGGACTCGTGTCGGTAGTGGAGATTGACGCTTCGACAACTTGTGCGGAAGTCATCATCAGAGTCGACCACAAGTTCTGTAGTAGTACACTAGAAAGTAATCCAATTAAGAGTAACAAAAAGAGTTGTTTTTAATCTTTTCTAGAACTGAAATGCTCTCCTTGAAAAAGGTTTTCACTCCAGTAATGTTGTCAAGATATATGTCCCAAAACCAGTTGATTGCAAACCATTCATACGCTGTTTTGATTTTAAAATATCTTCCACATTAACCTTAAGCAAATTTGATGTTTTTATTCTTTCACGATTTTTACTACGTCCTTGCAGTCCCACTTTCTGATAGTGGTTAAAGTTAACACATTTCAATCAAAATCATTAAAACACCTCATTTTTTGTAGAAAAATGGAAACCATTTCTATCTTTGAGGTATACACACATTCATCGGAAGGAATTGCAGACATTCTGTTCTGAGTATTCGTGCCTACCAGTGTAGCATTTCTTACTAACACCTCTGCCCCACAATATACCGTGCAGTCAACAAGAAATGAGTTGCGTGACACGATGCTTTCTCCCTAATCCGTCAGGCCAAGCGTGACTGTGAACATCTACACCACGACGCTCAGCTAGCTAGCCGCGTGACATTTTTTTTCCCTTGGTCACGGTTTTTTCCTTGTTCACGCATCCTAGCGTGACTGTTGAATAAAACGCAACGAAACATCATCCTGGAAGACCAAAGGTCATATGGGGATTGAATTTAAAACTTGCTTCAATATTCCAGGGATTGCTGACTGTGTGGTCTGTTTCTTTTGCTAACCCCCTTTCGATCAGCACTTTGTTTATGTGAATTTCTTCACCCTCCGTGTCGAACAAGTCAACATAAATAGTCTGATTCCACGCCCTGAGAGAAAAAAAAAGTGAGTCAACCCCTTCACTCCCAAGTGAAACTGACGAGTAACTTGTTCTTGTCACAGTAATACACTATCCCGCTACTAGATGACAAAAACAGGCAAACTGTCAGCTTAAGTGTTCTATCTTGATTTGGCACCAATTCCCTCTAAGTACTTTACAAAGAAGTAAATAAAAGATGAAGAAATATTACTTGATTGATCGACGAATCACACGCCTACGCACATCTGGGGACATAGCTACAGGAGGTCCTGGGTTGCCCCCACCCTCTCTCCCTCAGTTTTGGAGAGTTATTGGAAGATTCAACAAGATGTGCCGTATTTCGTTCTTCTCGCATTCGCTTTGCGCAGGTAGTGAACGAAAAAACTAACTTACTTAGAAAGGATGTGTGCTATCAATACTTTGTCCTCTGTAAGCGATTTGAAAGTTGATCTGAAAATAACAATACGGGTATGAAATCAATAAAATCGATGAAACGAAATAAAAAATTTTTAAGTCATTCTAATTAATTTACTTTGAGACGCTAGCCAGATACTACCAATAGTCACAAAACTCAATAATTCGATCGTGTTCCTCCTTCACTCACATAGTCTAAGTTAACCCTTCACACCCTAACATCTGTTTGCATATTCTCCATACTGTTCTCTTTACATTTCCTATGGTGTTGGCAAGGAGAATTTGTTTAAGTATCAAGAGCCGCTAAAGCTGTAGATCATTTCCTCTATTCTCGAGAACTTCAACCTTCAGGAGTTTAGGGTAGTTTTTCGCGGCGCAAATATTAGAACAAAATTTCAAAACGTGGTCCCTTCACCACCAAATCAATTGAAAACAATTTAAGTAAGAATTTAGGATCTCCTGTAATACAACCATGCACTTTAGTTACCTGCACCTCTGGCAAGTGAGATTTCCCAGAATAACTTGGCTTTCATAGAAGACTAATTTTAGCTTTTGAAATTTTAAATACTTACATAGCATCCGGGGACCATTTTTTTCCATTTCCGACCACGTCATCAATAGGCTCCACATTCCCTAAGAAACATTCGAGAGCTTGGAATGGAAGATGAAGAAAGTGAGGGAGCATGCGCTTCACGTGGTTGGCACTTGTCCACTCAGAATTACCATAGTCCACGAAAAACACCTGAAAAAGAAAGAAAAAAAAAAGGAAAAACTAAGTTCATTATAATTTCCTACATTCTACGAGCTAACAATTGGACAGAGCGTCGTCCAGTTCAAACAAAGTGATAAATGGGCCAATCAGAACAGAGGAAAATATCACAAGAAGCCAATGAAAACTCAAAGTGAAAACAAGTTGACTATCTACAGCGCGGGAAAACGCGGGTGACCAGCATTCGGTTACTTTTAGTTTCGCATCTGATTGGTCTAAATTATTTTGCAGGTTTTCTGTACCAATTATGGATGAATATAACAAACCAACAATTGAAAATTTCTGTCACCAGTTATTTCACGTAAAACTTTCAACATTTTATAACTTGTTCTCGTGGGTTATCATCAAAATAGAATACGGCCTTGTGCTTTTAAGGGTAAGTACTGACGTAATTTTGAATAAACCAGGAAAACAGCTTGTTTATTAATTAAGATTACCACGAGGGAGACGCATTTAAGACGGAAGAAAAGATAGATAGAGCTGTGTTCAAGTACATTAGCGGAATTTCAATCGAAAGCTCCAGGATAGGCGCCTTCGTTGGGAAAAGGCTGTGTTAATGGGAAAGAAATTCAACTCTCACAATGCCACCCTCCAACTTTAAGTACCTGGGGATTCAATGAAAGCAGACCCAACAGGGTTTCGTGTTTGGGCTTCGCCTTGCGGCACTTTTCCGGGCACGGCCAACTATTACACGAGCGACAGCCGCTTATGGAAAAAAGTTTTTTAAAACTCATGAGTATGAATCGCAAATGAATACCAGCAAACAGTAAGAGAAACCAGTGAGAGAATAGAGCCCTGTCCAAGGACACATTGATACCCCAAGTCTCTTCATGTTTTGGAAATCGTTAAAGGTACTATGCGCGCAAGGCTTGAGGTTTGATCCAATCTTCTATATATATATATGCAATGTACCTATCTAATTCTCTCTTTCATCGTCGTAGCAACCGCCATCACGTGAAATGAAAAGACCACGGAAAATAGTACAAACTTACGAATTTTTGAAAGTAAAATACATTTTATTAATGCTCTGGAGGGTTAAACAATGAGGAAAAAATTGCCTCATCAGCACTTTAATCACAACAAGTAGGATTACAAGGATAATAACCATCAACACGACATCTGGTCTCCAGATTCCCCCGGTACCAGCTAAGGAACGCCTTGGCGATTGTAGTGTTGCGTACTTGAATGTTCATCCAAGGATGGTTTTGACTACATTGAGAATGAACAAAGCAAGAGTCCGCCAAAACTCCTTTGCTCTTCGAGTCAAGGATAGATCGTAAAGCCTGCTTCGTTTTTTTACCAAAGTTCATAACGTAAGAATATTCGTCAGAAGTACAACTTTCTATATCGAAAATACAAGGAACATTAGATGCGTAGGCTAATTGCCAGGAATCGTACAAAGAATTGACTACAAATAAACGAGATTTAACGAAGGGCAGAGAGTACTGCGCAAAAAAACAACGCCACCTTTTTTTACGCTTCTGGGCGTGTATACAGTCTTCATTTAATCCCGAGGAAGAATTATGTAATTTGTATGCCTGGCGAAAAACAGATCGAATTGTTTCACTTCCATTCAGTGACGGCACGTCAATGAAAAGACCTGCATCGGCGAGAACACGGAAGGAGGCCTTCGTCTCGCGTCGAAGCCACCTTCGGATATAATCAGCGTGTACGATCGCAGACATTGCACCAGCTGACGAGCCACTCAATACGATCTCGGTAGCTTTGTCGATATTTCGTCGGCGCAACTCTTCTAGCACTGCATCGAGTATACGTCGACCTCGGAAATAAAGTAACTTGTCTTTGAATTTGAACGGTTTGTCACGATTTCCAGTGAACGATGATCCGTCACAGTAAGCAACAAAGACCACAGTCCACTTGTAAAAATCTGGATTGTTTCTCGTTTGGCTCGAGAGCAATCCTTGTACATCTGTAAAATGACGGGTATAACATTTAGAAGAACCAAGCGCTGTGCTACTTCGCTCATAGCACGTTTCAGCATCATGGCACCATGCACCCCCCTGCAAAAACACTATCCACTTCGATCTATCTGATCCCTTTCCATTCCGTAAGTAAATTCCAGGAGGGGAACCGTCGAGACAAACTGCTCCCTTGTCAGAGGCGTTGGTTAGTAGATGTAGTTTATAAGGTATTTCGACTGATTCCTTTTCTTTGGAGGGAAAAAGTTTTTCAAGAGCTGATAAAACTTCTTTCTTCTTGCTGTTTTGTTTGGCGACCCCGTTACGTTTCCTGTCAACTTCTCCCTCTCTATTCCTACAGGAATCCGTTGGTAAATCATCAAAATTTCCCGCTGCAAAATACCGATAATCTTTCACTGAAGGATGGGAAGATATGGCATACGAGATTTCTAAGAAGTTCAAGGACAGGAGACTCATCAAAAAAGAATAGACAAAATATTCCATTCTTCAGCCAACAAAAAACAATAATGGAAAATGCAATGACACGCTAGAGTGGAGCATTTAAAAGGGAACCTGCTGAAATAGTGTCACAATCGCTTGCCGTGACAAAAAGATAATTTTAGCAGGTGTTCCACTTTTCAAGAGAAGAGAGACCGCTGCTAAACTGATAGTGGCCACCTAAAACATAGAATTTGTTGGACTAAGTGCGCTAAGCTACGGTTTGTGAATATTAACCCTTTACACGCTCGCATCAGTATGTATATTCTCCATATCGTTCTCTGTACATTTCCTAAGGTGCGGACAAGGAGAATTTGTTAAACAATCAAGTTAGAGCTTCTTCAGTTGGTGATCATTCTCTTTGTTCTCGAGAGAAATTCGATGCTGGTCTTTTTTACGGGTCAAAGGGTTACAAACATGGGTCCTCATTTCTCAAGTTTTATCTGCAGTCCAAGCCAAGCTACTCCAACCATGAATAAAGGGGGTAAATTTCTAAGGAAACTGTGGTGCTGCGTTTTAAACTCTTTACGGCGGCCAACTCAGTTGATGATGATACTAAATTACCCTGTTATACTCCAGATCCCTTCCTCTACGTAAAAAAGCCGTAAAAAAGCCGCAAGAAACAATTGAAATCTCCCCATACTATGATCCAGAAACTACGTACAACGCCACACTTTTTCTTAAAAAAAGTTGTTCGTTTGAGTATATTGAACCTCAGTCCTACAAATGTACTGAAATTTTTTCACACTCAAAATTACATTTTCCGAGCTAAAACAGCCTCAGCCTAAAAAAAATTGTTAAATCCCTCACAAGACATTTTTAATTAGGAAGTGCTAACAATTTCGTGAGCCTAAAATCCACGACAGATCAAATTTCACAATTTCGTTATCATAAACCGCTCTAGAGTTGGATCGATCATAACAGTCAGCCAAACAATTTTAATTATCTCTATTTCCACTTCATAGAAATATTTTCAATCCTTGGCCATTCGTTGTCCTTCCTGGTTTATTTGGCCTCTTTCATAATTTTTGATGTTATTGACCTCATATTTGCAGTTTTAGGTAATTTTGCACACCAATAAAAATCGCAAAGCAGCCTATCACAGATATTCACAGGCAAGGAAGCGACTATGGAGCAGCATCTTTTCTTAAGAGCTAAATACAAAAATTAAAAAATTCTATATTTATCGCCAATGATAACGCTTAGGGCAGGTTGGGTTACGTGAATAGGAGAGAGGGTCGATCATAAACCGGTTTTGTTCCCTTTCACGATACCAGTCAGAGAAAGCTTGCGCAATTGAAATATTTTCTACCTCGATTTGCGTCCAATAATCGTTCATGACGCACTGCGTGTGAGCTAGACAAGCGTCTGCGAATACTGCTGTCTTCCTGGAGTCAAAAACCGAACGCAAAGCATGCAAAGTTTTCTTGCGAAACTTCGCAAGGAAACGCAACTCCTTTGAATGACAAGTCTTCACTTTGACAACACACGGGATATTTGAGAAAACAGCTAGCTGCCATAGATCGTTCAAAGAGTTCACCAGAAAGATAGGCGAAGAAAGAAACGGAAGAGAATATTGCGGAAAGAAACAGCGCCATTTATACTGACGCTTTTGCGCGCTGAGACAAGCTTGATTTAAGCCCGTTGAAGAATTATGTAACGAGTACATCTGTTGAAAAACCGATCGAGCGATTTTGGAGCCATTCAAAGACGGTTCGTCCAGGAAAAATCCAGCATCCGAAAGTACCCGGAAGGATGCATTCGTCACGCTTCGTAAACGTGATCGGATATAATCGGCGTGTATGATGGCAGAAAGAGCGCCAGCCGATCTACCAGCCAATATTATTTCCGAAGCATTTCCGATGCCTCTCTGAAGAAGTTCGTCGAGTAGAGCATCCATTATTCGGTGACCTCGAAAATAAAGAAGTTTCTTTTTAAATTTTAATGGTTTAGCGCGATTTCCAGAAAACGATGCGCCATCACAGTACGGAAAAAACACTGACGTCCAATTAAAGAAGTCAGGGTTGAATTTAGCTTCATTGGAAAGCAGTCCTTCTACTTTGGAAAGGTAAAGGGCCGTAGCATCTAGAAGAACCAAGCGCTGTGCCACTTCGTTGATAGCATGTTTCAGTATCATGACACCACGCACTACCCTGAAAAAAAATTGTCCACTTCGATTTTCCCGAGCCGCTTCCTTTGCGTAGGTACAATCCAGGAGGGGAACCGTCGAGGCAAACGGCGCCCTTTCGGGGACCTTCAGATATTAAAAAAAGCTGATGAACTTTCTTATCTGTTGTATCGTCCAAGTTCGTTGCCTTGCGAACACTTGGAGGAAATTTCTGATTCGGTGAGTTGTTTTTCACCTTGCCTGTATTTCTTAATCAGTTTGTGTCACCTCTGGCAATATGATCCTTGCCGCCATGGCCATTGTTACAGGAATCAGTTTAAAAGCCCTCGAAATTGCCCTCTGCAAATTGCTGAAAATCCCAGTTCACGGGAGGCAGAGTGACAACGTCTGAGGATGATTTATGAAAAAGGATGTACAGCACTAACGGAAAGTAACAGTACACAATTAGCATCTTTTCTTCTGGCAATTCAGTGAGACACTCAAGGACAAGAGACAAATCAGTGCATGGTACCAGCTAAACCAACGGGTAACACCTTAAAAGAAAGGTTGGGCGCATACCAAGTCAGAAGGCATGAAAAAAAACGCAACGATAGACAAAGCAGTGCACGGTACCAGCTAAATCGACGGGTAACACCATAAAAGAAAGATCGGACGAACAATTGAATCAAAGTGCTCTGTGAGCAAACTCGTGAATTGACACATGATTTTTCAGACTATGTTTAATGTTATCTGGTTTAGGGAATTTTGTGGTTGATTGTCATATCTAGAGTACGAGCAGTAGTTCAGTGTTCGCTAATGTAGCAAAGAAACAAAGTAACGTTGGGATAAGAAGGCATTACAATTGAAATGATCATGCTATTACATTTGACAAGGTGGATGATGTCATGTGTTTTAAACGTCTATCATTTTTGTTTCTGGCTCAAAAGAAAAGGTTGGAAGTAAATGTGGATGAAAAGTGAAATTTACTGTCTTTCGTTGTAAATATTACAAAATCAAGGCAATGCTGTCTTAATGAAAACATTAACGATTCCCTTTTTATCAAATGAGACAAACGGGAACGAGTTTTGAGTGATATAACTAAGCCAAGCCTGCCACCGTCATTTTGGATCTCCGCCTGGGTAGATTTAAGTCACGTGCTAGGCAACGTATAATCAATAACAAGATAGAATTTCATTTCAGGCCTATTTATCAATTTTGTAGTGTGTAACTTTCGCATTTTAGTACGTTGTATGTATGTTGAATCTTCAAATTGTCTTGAAACTTAAAAGAAAATTGTTCTTTAAAAATTCACTGAAAATCGGTAGCTAAAATTGTTTGTTTAGGTGTTATCTGATTTTCGTGTTAACTTGTTATTTCGTCAGTCGCCGGCATCTTTTGTTGCTTCACACAGGAAAAACACACGCGACGAACCGTAATGATCAATTTTGTCCTCAATCTCACGCCATAACAGAAAAAGCTTTTGAACATCTGTAAACTCCGAGCGCTTCGCAGTAAGTGATATTTTCAATGAATCTTCGGATTGTTTTCAAGTTCAAGGATTGTAAATTACAATTTTATGAAAAACGAAGGTTGTTCTGTTATTTCAGTGTGAATCCTTGCATGCCTGCCAGTCGCTGGCGCCGCTTGTTGAAACTAAAACGAAAAAAAAAAACTCTTTTAAGATTATCATTGGCTTCTTTTTCACCCCACCACTATTCTTAGCAACAAAGGTCGCCATTTCGTCTGTTTATTGCTCGCCAAAAACTATCAAATGCACTCAAAAGCCTAAAATCTAAAAAAAGTTTACAGGAATCGACCAATCGAGCGAGCGAGCGAATGGCATTCCCCACATCGTATCTATAACTCGCTCTTGCGCATGCGCGTAGTTCACGAGTTAAAAAAGGATAAAATTTTATAGATCTTAACTTGTATAATGTAAACAAATAACATCGGGGGTACCGAACAACGTCAAATAAACTTTAAACACCACAGACGTAAACGTCACTGTTCGACCCCCCGCCCTCCACCCTCTAATGAGCCCACTCTCTAGTATACCCCTGTCTGGAGCTTTTTCAACCTCCCCTCCCCTCCTCCTTTCTTCCTCTTTCCTCCCTCAAGATAATCCCTGTGGGCCAGTCATAAACGAGATCATTGAATAAACATCTTTCCACTGCTAGCTTTCGGCCTTCTTGACATGCACTATTCACAAAATTAAATGTTCCGATAAAAGGTGTAGTTGAATTGAGAATTGTTTAGGACGACGTTTCATTAAATAACGGCTAAACTTTGTTGAAATAACCGACCATGTATCTCCATTCCTGTGGACCGGGTAGTGATAACTCTACGCAGGTATTCGCCTTTCGCATATACAGAATTTTTAATTGCTAGTTCCTTTTATAACTGTATGACTACTGAACTTGTTAAAAATCAAACTTCAGCTTTAAGTACATGTTACATGATCTGCTTAAGGTCCCTAAAAACAAACATTAGTAGAATTGCTCAGTTGATTAAAGAGATTCGTCTCAGGGATTATACAACATTGTTATTCAACTTCTATACACTGTGCGAATTCCGATTTTCTTGGTTGTGACGAAACAACCTCCCAGACGTCATTATCGTGGTGTAATAGCCGTGGTGCAAATTCAGCACACCACTATCATTACACCATGGCTTCGGCTGACTCAAATTTTGACGATTTGTCAGATTCAGACACTGATTCTTTTATTGATGATGCAATTCCTAGAAACAGGAAGAAGGCAACTGCTTGGGGAATAACTGTTTTGAAAGGTAAGGTTGCGAATTTCAAATTTTTAATTCAAGCTAATTGAGGTTTTTGTGTGTTGTCAACAGTTTAGCCAGCTTTGGACAATCTTGTTTCTTTGAATTCGCTCGATTCAAGAACAACGAGTGCGTTAACCTGTAAATACTCCGCCTTCGGCGAATAAGTGTTGATTAGTATATTCCATACCGTTGATTGGCTAGTTGGAGGTGATTAGCAAGTATCATTCACTGCTGAGCAGCCGATGAGACAAATTTGCGCGTCGAGAATTTAATTTCCGACAATTTTCGGTAAATTGACAGAAATAAACTTTTTTTTTAGGTATCTGTATGCTATTAACTGAAACAAGTATTTACCTTAGTGTCGATGAAAGTGGTGGATAACTGTTTAATATTAATGTCACATATATTTTTTACCAATGATAATTCTTAGGACAAGAGGGGTTACCCAAATAGGGGGAGGGGTCGATCATGAATTTGTTTTGATCACTTCCACGATACCAGTTGAAAAATGCCTGCCTGAGTGTGATATTTTTTATCGCAATTTGCGTCCAGTAATCGTTCATAACGCACTGCGTGTGAGAAAGACAAGCATTTGCGAAGAGCGAGGTCGTTTTGGAGGCCAGAACGTTTTTTAACGCTCGAAGTGTCATATTTCGAAACTCCATTACGAAACGTATTTCGGTCGAATTGCAACTCTTTACATTAAAGACGCAAGGCATTCGAGAAAAATAAAACAATTGCCACAAATCATACAAGGGGCTCACTAAGAACATCGCGGAAGTGACAAAAGGGATAGAATACTGAGGAAAAAAACAGCGCCATTTTTGATCCGACCCTTGCGCGCGAAGACAAGCTCGATTTAAACTCTTTGAAGCATTATGCAAAGAGTAGAGCTGCTGAAACATAGACTGTGCCATTGCAGAGCCATTCAGCGCGCGTTCGTCTAAGACAAAACCTGCATCAGAAAGCACCCGGAAAGACGCGTTGGTCGCGCGTCGTAAACGCGACCCGATGTAGTCGGCGTGGATGATGGCAGTAAGGGCCCCAGCCGATCTTCCACCGACTATTATGTCGGACGCACTGTCGAGACCTTTCCGGAGCAACTCGTCTAAAAGAGCATCAAGTATTCGGTGACCTCGGAAGTAGAGCAGTCTGTCTTTAAATTTTAATGGCTTATCGCGATTTCCAGTGAAAGACCCACCATCGCAGTATGCCACAAAGACTGAGTTCCAGTTGTAAAAATCGGGGTTGTATTTAGCTTGGTTGGAAAGGAGTCCCTCCAGGTGAATAGTTTTCCGGAAAAATTTGGACGAGCCAAGCGCTGTCACACTTCTTCTATAACATCTCTCGATACGGTAGCACCATCCGCCCCCCTGAAAATATATAATCCACTTCGATTTTCCCGAGCCATTTCCACTGCGAAAATAAAATCCAGGAGGAGTTCCGTCAAAGCAAACTGCACCACTTTCGGGGCCTTTGGTTATAATGTGTAGTTTATGCGTTCTCTCGTCTTCTGCGTCATCGAGAAAGCGCACTGGAAACTCTGTTCCTTGAGAAACATTGGTATGGAAATTCTGTTGCGACAAGTTTTGCTTTACCCTGTCTTTTACCAAACTCAAAAGATTGATGTCCTTTACGTCGGGGTAACCTCTGTGTCCAGTTTCGATTTGATATTTGTCAATAATGTTCTTGTAGCGGACATCTGTTATCAACCCCTCAATATCAGCCTCCTTGAGTTGCTGGAAATCCCAGTTTGTAGAAAGGGAGGATTCAATAGCTGAAGATGATTTGTAAGTAAATAAGAAGAGGATCAAAGTGACAGGAAGATAAGACATCTTTCTGACAAATGTGCCAGTAAAACCGCTGAAAGATGTAAGAGGCCAGGTACGCCACCGCACACTTGTTGAAAACTACGTCAAACAAGCTAATTAACTAAGGATCCAAGATATTCACTAATTCTGGAAATATCAATTGTTCCTGAGCTACAAATGAGAGCTGATAACCAGCCAAAGCCGTAAAAAGAATCACCAATATTGGAAACACCAGTTACAACTGAATTCCTGTATTTAAATATTTAACATTCATTCAGGGAGGTGGAGGCGAAGGCGAATAGACTGAATACAAGTGCTTTATTCACTGTAAAATGAAAAGAGCCAAATTGACCCCAAAAGCCAAATTGGCCTCAATTTCTCGAGGGCTAATTTGGCCCATCAAGGTTCGTTTTGGACTATTTGAGCCAAAACGGGTGG